GCTGCCCGAAGCGGCCGCGGCGCCGGGGAGGAGAGACGGGAAGGGAGCGACGGTGAGGGCCGCGCTCCGCAGCCCTGTGAGGCGCTGAGGGGCGCCTGCCTCCCCTCCGCCCCTCTGCCGGCGAGCGGCAGTTCGCAGGGATCGTTACTAACGTCCCCGAGGCAGCCCATGTCCTCACAAGCCTTCCTTGCCCCGGTGGCTTCGAGCACGCGGAGACGTAGCCGGCGGTGAGGCGGTGCGACGCCTGCCCGGGGACTTCTGTCTCTGACGCGTCCAGTCATCTCGCACGTGGACAGAGATCACAGGTAAATGAACACCCTGTTAAAGCAGCGCAAGAACAGCCGTAAGGGCGAAAAGTGAGCTTGGTTCTTGGCGGAAAGCACCACAAAGTCCACAGTGGTCGGTGGGGCCCGATAGGCAGGATGGAGGGAGGGATGATGCTGGAGAGGAGAAGTTTTTGCTCTGTTTCGCAAGGTGCGGGGGCCCAAGGGCCGGAAGAGGCAATAGTTAGGTGCTGTTAGGGAGCACAGAGAGCAAGAGGGATAGGAAAGATGTATGATCACTGAAAGGAAGGCTTAGGACCAGCTTTCTAGTGGGGAGGAGGGTGAAGTACCCACACAGAGTGCTTCGGAGAGACTGCGGAGTCTTCCTTCGTCTCAAGGACTGGTTAGACAAACATCTATCAGGAATGGCATGCGTGTTGGGAGGCTTGGCTAATTAATGTTTGTGAAGCACTCTGGGGACAGGAGACGTTCTTGAGGAGCTAAGCAGTACTTTGGCAGGTAATGTATTTGGCCTCTCAGAAAGAGCTATCTTTACCCCTCAGCCCTGCCTCGGGCATTTTTCCTCTACACAGGTACTCCTGTCTGAAGGAGTCAGACTTCTGCTTTGAACATGCTGGAAGAGGGATGAAAGGAGGGAAATTTCACATCTCAGAGCTATTATTTTGGCCTGCCAGGCTGCCTGCAGATTCAGGAACACTCAGTCTCAGCATCTGATAGACGGGGAAGATGCTGTACTCATTACCTTATGGTGAAAAATCTGTCTGTCAGAGCTTAAATCCTGAAGCATTATGCTTCAGGAGCTCCTGAATATGCATAACGCTGGGTGTAAAATCGCACCAGCGCTCTGCTTTCCAGCCCCTCTCTTTGGAGGTGATGGTCAGATGGTGCCAGGGCTGTGTTCTGAGACCCCCTGAGTACCAGTGAATGGCCTACAATATCTCTTCCACTCCCACAAAAGAGCATCGGATAACCTAAGATTTCAGGCGCTGTATTTGCAGTTGGTTCAAATGTTCGGTAAGGCCACAGGACACCCTGTGACTCTGAGCTATCAGCACTCCCCCCCCCCCCTGTATTTAGCCTTCTTTGCTCCTGCCTTTCAATGCCTTTATGCCCACTTCAAAATCCCTTTTTAAAGACACTGAGGACCTGGACAGGAAGGAAATGCTGTCTTCCATCTGAGGACCGAGTATTGCCTAAGTGGTCATGACTTGGGCTGTTGGTGAAAGCCTAGGGTTGCTTGGTTGGCTTTTTACACAAATTCAAGGCTTCCCTTCTGACACAGCCATTTTCCACAGCGGGGCTAGGACCCTGCCATGGCCAGCCCAGTCCAGCATGGACCATGAGCCCCCCATGCCTGGGGGGGCCCTGGGTTTGTCGATGTGGACAAGGCACTCCAGGTTCCTCACTGGCCACTTGTTCTCTGCCTAACTGCAGACACTCTGTGTGCTGTATGGGAGTGTGCGGTTTCACTTGTGAAGCAACTTAACAAGTTGCAACTATCGCTATGGCTGTCTGGGGAGCTGTTGCTTCACCGAACATGGCAAAATTAAACCAGCATCTAAGGCAGGATGGGAAAAATCCCACCTATCAGTTGAACGTGACTGAGAGCAATAGATGTTGTTCGCTTACCAGTTGCAGTCCCAGACCTCTGGATTCGTGGCCCAGCATCCATGGAGGGCAGCAGAGGCAGCCAAAGTGCAATCAGGTGCAGGTGCTGCTGGTTACTGGATATAAACATGTGCGTTGCTACAGGCAGGGTGCCTAAGGACCTGGAGGGAGGATTGCAGCCTTCCTGGCATTCACTATGGAGCAGGCTATTGCAGGAAAGTGCATGGAGTTAAAAGCTAGGAGCTGCTGAGGGACTTAATAACAGAGGGGTCAAAGCACAAGGGGAAGGAGAAAGCTTGGTGGCAAGGGGAGATGCAGGCAGCCTGGCAGCAGGACGACCTGCCCTTACACCGAGAGAGGCAAAGCTGAGGCTGATCGCTCTTGCTGTCATCACAGCAGAAATGAAAGGCTGCAGCCAGTGTGGTGGTGGCTTGCAGGCTGTCTGTGGTGTATGACGTGCATGGGCAGGATGGGGACATTTGGGATGCCCAGGGCTGCTGCCAGAGGGAGAGGAGGACAAGCTGGAGGGGCACAGCAGCCCTTTGCCATACTCTCCTCTGAGGGCTGGAAGAGCAGCCGGGGCTTACGGTCAGTGACAGCACCCCTCCTGACTGAGCAACTGCCAGTGGGGGATAGGAGGGGATGCCACCAGGAGTGACTGACAGGGGCTGAAGACATACACTTGTGTTTGGACTGCAGGACGCTGCTGGGAGTAGCTGCCGGTCAGATATCAGAACAAAGGAAGGGGGACCTGAATGATGTTGAATTTAAATTAGCTCCAACTAGCTAATTAGGGGGAACGTCTGCACCCAAAGAGGTGTTCCCCAAGGAGGGAAGGAGACAGTGATGCAGCCATATCATAGAGGATGATGCTGGGAAGCAGACAAGCTAACTGCTTTCTCCAGCATCGCTGTCCACAATGGAAGCTTGAGAGCCCACCAGGGCCTGCCTTGGCCTGCCCCTCTCCAGACATGTGTCCCCTCACAGCTCCCTCTGCACCCCTCAATACAGGCCTGGAACATGGCTCCCTATAATCCATGTTTTAGATCAATCTGGACTGTTTCCTCGAAGGGAGGCAAGAGGTTTAGGCACATTCCCTGTTTTTATCAGCTTCTTTTCAGCCCTTTTACATAGAGCCCTTTAAAACCCAGCAGGGCACTGCTAAAGCCAAAGCCTGTGATGAGGCAAGAAAGTCACCCTGCCTGTGCCCAGTGCCTCAGCCTGGTGGTTGCATGCATCCCCACCACTGCCCAGAGACCTCTTGGTGCCCCCAGCCCAGGGCACATGGAGTCTGATCTCGGGGTCATGATTGCAAAGCTGTAAGGAACAAGTAGGTAGCAACAAGGGTGTCACCTTGCAACGCTCTTGCTTTCAGTTGATGCCGGTGGGGTGCAAAACCCAAATCTGAGCCTCCTCCTTTTTGAGAACGTCCCCGTTTCCCATTTCTGACAGGGGCAGCCAGCACTGCCTGTAGAGATGCGCAAGAACAGGATATTCAGCACTCATTCCCCTGTCCTCCGTGCTTCCAGGAACATCTCTGCAAAGGACTGGAATATCTTTAAGAAAGCTCAGTCTGAACTGACACCAAAGCTCGGCCCCTGCACTGATCAAAACTTTGCTACCAGGTTAGTGAATGCCCTATCGCTTGGCCACACCACACTTCTGCATGCGAGCGGCTAGGAGTGAAAGCAGCCAGACTAGATGGGGCTGGGACGAGGGAGAAAAGCAGAACCCAGGCAGGCTGTTAGAGTAGCTGCTTTAACTAGCTGTAGGCTTGCCTGTAGTTCAGTTCCCTCGCTATGACTCTGCTCCTTTCAGTCAGCCACAGAGTCTTACATCAGGAAGGGTGGTTTTGGAAGCTGCCACTAAGCGTGGCTCTGGGAAACTGTTGCTTCGGGGCAGCTGCAGGCCTAGCAGAGGAGACCTCTTGCTCTACCCGATATCCAGGAACTAAGCAGCTCAGAAGGCTGGAGAAGCAGTCTTGCAGCACGGATCCCCAAATTCTGCAACAGGACAATTCCTCAAGAAGCAGGAGCCCTGGCACCCTCTGGAGTCCGAAAGATTGCCGGAGCAAGCCTAGTCTGCAAACCAGCTCCCCACTTCCATGGCTTCCTCATCGATTTGAGAGGAAAAACTTACGCTTCTTCCTCATCTTTGAAACTGGAGAGCAGCATGCGGAGGCCAAACTGTCTTTACCAATACGTTGGAGACAAACCTGTCCTAGCACATTTCCCTTCCCTTCCTGTCACATGCCATTGCCCTGTCCTCTCTGTTTTTCATCTGGCCAGCTCTTCCAGCTGCATCCCAGATTGCAGAGATACACCAAAAAACGCCCAGCCAAAATAAAACAAATGCCCTTGAGTGCCTGTTGCCTGTAATTCAGCAACAGCCCCGAAGCCCCCAAACAGCAAGACAATTGGCCACAACTGCTGCAGAAACCCAGCAGGAGGAATCACGTTCAGGGGCTCTCATTTGCAGCTCAGCTATATTGTATTTTTAGGGGCGCTTTGGTTAAAACTCAGTTACTTTTTGTGCGTTTAAGTGAGGAACAGCCTATGAGAGGTGAGATGGAAATCCCCTTTGGGCAGCAGCACCAGCGCAAATGTGCTGTGAAACGCACAGAAGTTCTTGCCTTTTCTGAGAATTCAGCTTCTCAGCAGTGGGGCTTGTGTTCCCATCTCTCCCACGGGGCTGCTCTGAGGTTCAGTACAAAGGAAGAGAGGAGATAGGCGTGTTGCCTCCGCTAGCCCTGAATCCTGTAGGCAGAAAAAGCCCTGCTGGAAGGAAGAAAAACCAACCAACCAACCAACCAAAAGAATTGCAGCCACAACTTTTGCAGCCAATGAACTTGGAAAACTAGGCGATGGAGGGAGGGGCCAAGAGACAGAAAGGAAGAATTGAAACAAGTGAGTTGAAATTTGGCAAGACAAATTCTGAAGTCTAAAGCGTATATATCTGGTGCTTAAAGGCCCAAAGGGTAGTAATACCCACCCTCAAGTGCTAGCACAAGCCAAAATTCAGTTGAGCCCCAGCAGTCTGACCATCCATACATTCAGAATGCCCAACTTCTCTGTTTGGCACATAAACGTTTAATAGGAGAATTCAAAATGTGGTATATTCCATCAGCACATGGTAGTCTTATGTGGAAATTAGTGCAGGTGGTAATCTACTTGTACAACAACGTGTTAAAAAAAGTTTATTTTACATTATATACATTAGGGAACATATTCCAAAGCATTACCAATCACAACAATAATGCAGGCCATAAATCACCTTAAATTTAGTTTGTTTTTAGTGTATATTATCACAATAAAATATAAAGAACATATACAAAAAAAAGGAGTCAAATGTGTGCATTTTGCTAAAACTTGGCATTTACATACTCCATTGGAAAATAGCAATCAAAAATACTTCTGATCAAAACTAAGTTCCTGTGATGCGTAGTAACCATTGTATTGTTTGAATGAGGTAGTAACTAAATTATTTTGGCCGTGTGTTAACACCCTAAATCAAGAAAAGTGAAAATGGTTAAGGCCAAAAAAAGTCAAAAATGACAAGATCTTTGAGCCATTTCCACAATGTGGAATGTTGCTGCTTTTCATTGTGATATGAAGCTACTTAGTAAGACAAACAGTAATACTAACTTTTAACCATTTGTTTACACTAGTAATTCAAACACCTATTGCAGTGTTACAGCAAGGTACCACTATTCTGGGACTGACACCCATCCAGGAAGTATTGTTTTCAAGCATAGAGAAATAATCGTAAAGAGAGTTTTAATTAAATATAAAAATACAGGTGTTTAACTGGTTTGTTTCACAAAGAAAGCTACCCAAGTAAACTAAAAAAAAGGAACTCTGAAGCCCAAGTCATATCCACAAAGTCACAGCTTACCTTTGTGACTAAATACATCACATCTCAATACGTTGTGCAAACATGAACACCAGTGTGTTGCATCAAAATTAAAAACAAGATTGTAATCTGATTACAGCCTTGGTTACAATTTCTAAAAGTTAAGATTTATTTGTATTAGTAAATTACATATAATAAAATACAATAGTGTTGTTAAATGTACTATATTTGCTGCTAGCATCCCACTTTATAATAAACACACGAGAAGTCCTTAAAATAGTACCCCGGTTTCATTTTTGCGTCCTCAGTGACTTTTACATCTGTACAGGTAAGACACTTGTACTTAACAGGAGGACCACTATCTACATAAGGTCAGTGTAGGTCTTCAGCAAGAAGTTTCGCTGAAAAATACTGCATATGTACAAAGATTACATAACAGTAAATTAAGCACTTCCGTGGTATCTTAATGCTAATGTGTCCATACCACAAACAATTCTCATCTTCCACTCATGCCACAATAAATTATAAAGTAACTGAAGTCAGGTTACTGCCACTTTTGTGCATTTTCAGCCTGCCATGAACGCTGCAGCAGGAGTGTTATCTTGTCATGGTGAGTTGCCATGCACTGTTCTCAGTAACTGTTCTCGTGCCCTGCCAGGATATATAAATTGCTGTTGGCTGTTGGGTTATCTGTTGGCCTACTCTCCAGCACCACGACCCTAAAGAGAAGAGAAGAAAAGAAAAAAAAAGCAAGCCACAGTAAGTCAAGTAATCCTTCCTTTAAAGGCATCCCTGAGTATAGCTGCAAATATTCTTTCCGCTTGTCCATTTGACTAGCGGTGGTTTCTCTTTCCCTGGAGGCCTCTAGTCCAACTCCTGCTCAAAGCAGGGCCAGTCTCAAAGCCATCTCAGGGTCCTGTCCAGGCACGGTCAGGGTATCTCCAAGGATCTCCCACAACCTCTCTGGGCTACTAGTCCAGTGTTTGACCGCCCTCACCATAACGTTCTCCCCCCTTTTATCCCGCTAGAACGGCCCTTGCTGCTACTTATGCCTGTTGCCTCTTGTCCACGCCTTTCAGCAGGTGCTTCTGAGAAGGGTCGGAACCCATCACAACCTACTGCTTGGGCTCGTGCTTCCCTGGAGCTTTGCAAAGCTAGCCTGCTAATCACACGCCAGTCCTGGAACACATTAGCCCTTTACTGAAAAGGGGAGAAAAGTTATCCTCCCTGGCAGATGGCACGTCCAATAAGAGGTACAGGAAGTTGTTCTGACAGAGGCTTATTTTGCAACTGAAAAGGCAGCTCTGAGTTAGACACAGCCCGTGTTTTGTCTCGCTGCCAGATATGGTGAGAGGAGAACTGTGCCTGCCATGTTGTACAAGACCTGTGTAGAGCACACAGGACCACTCAGAAAGGTAAGCTTGTGCGTGTAAGACTTAGGCATGTATATCACACCACTCTCAGCATTGCGCACTGAAAGAACTATGTTCAGACTCTCTCAGAAGAGGAATATAAAGGATCACTGCAGTCACCCTGAACGCTTACTGAAGGCAAGCATATCACATAAGGGAGAGCTGGTCACTTCACCTGTCCTTGGCCATTGGACATGACAGACCCCAAAAGCTGACTTTTCCACAAGTTTCTCCCTGAGCCCATGTATTCCACCAAGCATCACTAAATCCACAGAAACTTTCTCCGGCTCTGAAAGTCTGAGTCAAAGTCTTGTAGGCTGAGACCGTCTCCAAGGGAAGGATCACTATATGCATAGTCTCCTCTCATACTCTCTTCTTGGCACCAACTTTTGGCCAGCACTGGAGACAGGAAACTGGGTTAGCTGGATCTACACTACAACTGGAAAGACCATAAGGAACATCCTAGATCAGACCATTCTCTTCAAAGGAGGGAAATTCGCAATCACAGCTCAGTTTCACAACTTATTCAAGGCGTTTAATCAGGCACTTAAACTGCTAAATGGACCAGGATGTTCCTGACCAAGTTCTCCCCCACAAACACCCAAGAGTGAAGGTAGATACATTTGACTTTCCCACAGTTTCTAACGATTCTGAATTTGACCAGGAAGAGGTTGCTTGCTTTGAAACTAACACTCAGAAAACCCAGCCTCTGCTTGACATGCTCTAAATGAAGTGACATCTCATGCCACAGGGCATTCCCCGCTCGCCAGGAGAAAGCAACAAGCAAGCTCTTATCGCACCACCCATCAGTGTTTTGGCTTCTCAGAGCCTCCCTTCCTATGAACTGACTAGGAAGTGATGTGTTACCAGGGAAGGTTTCAAAGCCAAAGTATGAAATACAACAGACCTGCAAGCAAATCACATCTGAAGAAGTTGGAATTAGTACTTACTGCATTGCAAAAATCTTTTAACATTGTCTCAGATTTGGGAGAATATGAGCGTGAGCAGGAAATAGATGGACCAATAAATGGGGAAGAGGCCATTTTTTCCAAGGCAACAATCTGCAATACGACGTTCTATTCTGAAGTCAGACTTGTTTTTAAGTTGAGCTGCACTCTCTCTCCACAACTAAGAGATATGGCATAATAAAGCTGTGCTGCATGCACACCTCACTGGCAGAGAATTCAGAGACGAATGCATTTCTTAGTTACCCATTACCAAAAAGCTATCAGGTATTGCACCATAAGACAGAACCCCCAACCTCCAGCCAGCAAAAATAGCCATAAGGGAGCTAGCTGGTAAAGCCATGGTGCTATTTAATACTGTTGATGTTATGGCAATTACAGGGTTGTGCATCAAGCTTGAACAAGGGGACGGCCTTTGGTGGACGTGAAGCTTCTCAGCGGTTCTGAGACGCCACACGAAGGTGAAGATCCCTGTAAGAGGCATAAGACAGAAACAATTCTCTGCAGAAAAATGAGTCTAGCTTTGCACTGTGTATGCATACAATGCTGGCAAAATTGTCACGTCAGCACGCACTACCCAGAATTCAGAACATCTGCTGTTTTCATGACTGTTAGAGAAGTACAAAGTTCGACAGCAGGGCAGAGAAAGTTGAGGAAGTTAGTGACACTCCTAAAATAGCAATTACTGACTAGGCAAGCTGCTATCTGATGGGTCAGACCAGAGGCATAGCATTACAGTCCTGCGAGGCAGATGCTGCTCTGGGGATTATGAAGGGCTCTTGAACACCTGAACTGTCATGTTGGGAAGACAACAGTGAGAGCTCCTTTCTAGGGGAAGAACTGAGATATTTACATTTTTATGTATTTTCTGCATTTCTCTCAAGAGGTAGATCCTGATGAGCTGCTGCAGCAGAGCATCTGAAAAGTGGACTTTACCAACTTGAATGCAAGAACTTCAGTGCAAAAAGGAAGACATTCCCGGAGACTTGTGACTGCAGCCAAATATAGGCTTACTACCGAGGCTGAGTACCTTCTGGAAACTCACAAGCAATACTGTATTCCTTCAGAAGAAAAAGAAGTAAACTTAAAGGGCTGAAAGGCACACATGCACACAAAAGGAATGAGGAAGATGGCTACAGAAGGGATCACAAAAAACAAGCAAAAATACTTTTAAAAGGTAGGAGGGAAAGATAACAGATTGTTCTTCTATTTTAACATGCTATATTTGGTTCTGTTCGTACCTGTCAGATCCCAGAAGCCGGAATATCCTTGTATTATCAGAAATTTCTTGTGTGATCTAGACAAAAATAAGACATTTATTTGGGTGAGAAATGTATTTAAACAACAACAAAAAAACCTAGATAAAAGAATCAACCATGACCGATACTGAGAATTCACTGCTGATTTAAGTCAGCTAGAGGATTTAAGGTAACTGTCGCTCTTAAATGAGGACTAACAAAGTTTTCTGTAACTCCTGCCACGTTATGTGAATTGCTCTGGTAGCAACTGCAAGCATGAGAGCAGGGCTCAGCGCTGTGCTACCACAGCATCTGAGCTACTGGTGCTGATCTCTTTAGAGCCATGAGTGAAATAGGTACCTGTGGGGTGCAACTGGTCTCACTCTACAGTAGATATCCAAAACAATCAGGTAAATTGCACACAAAATACCTGTGCATTTCACTGAAATTCTGAAATCATAATAATATTGCAGGAAGTCCATATTCTGAAAAGCTTAACAGAGAAATATAATCTAATCTGTGGCACTTACGTGGAAAGAAAACTTATTATTTTGACATTTGACAAATAGTGTAATAGAGCTTTGTTTACTGCAAATAACTTGTACTACCGTTGATAGATCTTTATGGTTATGTGAACGCCACAGCGTCATAGAAAATAGCAAGTCAAGTCAAAGCCCAGAGCTTACTCCAAAGGGTATCAAGTCACCATGTCAGCAGGCAGCACTGTTTACAAAGCTCCCTTTCTACGCAGCCACTTTTCACATTTTTGAGAACAGAAGTGTCCCTTCTTTCCTTCCTAGATCCTAGCAGGTTTAGTTGACTTAGGGAATTCACTTTTGGCACAAAGGACTTCAAGAAAAGTTTTAATTCACAACAGTTAAGTGTCCACACTTCTTTGTTGGGGGACTTCTTTGTTGAGTCTGTACAATCTTGGTGCAAATTCCAAGAGACTTGCCTCAGAATTCACACAGTTCCCTGTTGTTTCATTCTTCCCATTGAATCAAACCATAGTGGAAGGTCACAGTCGTGGAAGAAAAAGGTGAAGAAACTTTACAAACAGCTGAAATCATCCCCAATTCGATTTACCAATATCAGAATAGAGAAGTTGAGCTAATAATGTATTCAAAGACAAATGTGCCACAAAGTTAGGTTAGTTAGGTTTTACACAGTAAGAATCCCCACAAAGTAATGAACTTGCAGATGAAAATGGGTTTATTTTCTTAATAGCTGTGGCAACCAGGAGAGGTAAGGGTTTTAACAAGGCCTGAGAGCTTACCCTAAAGATGTTCTACAGAAAAAAAATGTGGGTTGGCTCTCTTTCTGACATTTTGGTCTTGCCTTCTGTTCTTCATTTACATGCTGGCTTGACAATAACAAAGCAAGAAGACAGTGTTCCTTATGCTAACATAAACAATATAAAGCATGCACTTGCACTGCAGCACCCTGGGGCATGTCCTCTCACAACTGGATCAGAGATACTGAGTGCCAATGTGGAGTAATAAATACACTGAGACTTGCAGAATGCTGCTAGCAGCATTTTGGAGTTGGAGAAATGCCAAGAGTCATCATCTCCTCCCCGTGGTCTGTGCTAAGAGCAGGGGTATTGCAGTTTACCATTACGGGTTCTTGGGGAAAAGGACAATCATGTCTGGTGATCAAATATACACAGATGCCACAAAAAGCATTTGTCAACTCGGAAATAAAAAGTAGTCTGACCGCTAGTCTCTAGTCCAACTTCCCACAAAGAGCAGGATTACTGTTAGCACAGGTTAGGTCAGCTGTGGCTTTGTGTAAATAAATGTAATTGTGTAATAATGTGGAATATCTAAACTTGGCATGATGTGAGTGTATGGGTACCTTAAAATACTATTAGCCGTAATGAACTCAGTCTCTCTAGTTGATGCAACACCGATGAACTAACTGGTAAAGTTTGTAAATATTCTTTAATGACCAAGTCAAGAGATTCATTAAAATCTAACAAAGCACAGTGCTTCCACCAACACATAGGTTTGCAACAGGAAAAAAGGTATCAGAAAGGTATTTAAAATAGTTTAACTGTGTTTAAAACTCACATGCAACTGACTGAAAAACAGGACAGAAATTTTATCAAGAACATTCTTTAGGTCAGTCTGACATTGTTCTCCTGAGAATGCAAAAATCTTGTGAAAGTTGGGCACTAAAATTTTTAAAGGACTCGTAAGCAAAATTATCATGGAGGAGACCAAGAACAATGAGCAACCACTGTTTGGCACTGTGACAAAAACTGGCCTTTGAAGCAACTTAAACTGAAGATTAATGGTTAGCCTTGGTTACTTTTTATGGCACCAAGCCTGTTGCTGCTTTCTGCTTTGTATGTTAGACCTGAAAGGGGTTCCCAGTATAGTTTCATCTCAGCTGCAGCCTTGTAGCATATACCAGCTCAGCTCATTTCCCAACTGCCGAGGCACCACTCACCACTACCTCCAATTACATCATGCAGCTTTCTTCAACAGAGCGCAAGGGAGGACCAACGCTTATTTCAATCACGCGTGGCCCGTTTAGCGCAAAAAAAAAAAAAAAAAAAAAACCTCAGCCTGAGCCAATCGCTTTAGGTTGGCTGGATTCTCCACGGCTTGCCTCCACCTATGCAACGTGGGCATCATATCCCACCAAGTCAGAAGGACTGTGTGTCCAACTCAGCTAACTTTATGCAGTGTTCCACTAGGGAGGAATAAAAGGATCTTTCTTCTACTAAAGAAATATTTCAACACTTACACTTTCATCTTTGGAAAGCAGGTCTCATTCACTTGTAGCTTATGAAACATGTTAAAATGAGACTCCAGCTTCCAGGCCTAACTTAGGACGTTACTGAAATGTTTTATTCTTTTTCAGATCACAGCATTATTTATTTATCCTAAACTTCGGTTATAACATAAATACTAGAATTTGAAGCAAAATGCTGCACTCACCTCATTAGATCTAAAACTCCTTCCTTGCATTCCATGTTTCCAGAAGGCTAACACACTGTCTTGTAGACAGACTGGCAGAAAAAGAACACTGGAATCAGACATAATGTCAACTCATTCTTTTACGGTGAAAAGCATAGCTCTGCAATTTTGAAATTTGTGAAGACTGCAACATGTCTTGGAAGAATCACTGATTCTGCCTCCATAGAAGTTCTGTGTGTGTATGTATGTGTACATATAGTGTGAAGAGTAAGGTTCACAAATAATCGCACCCAACTAGAAAATGACCTCTCTCTCTAGTTTAAGAAGAAGAAGAAGAAAAAAAAAAAAAAAAAGGTCCCTCCCTCCAAACAGGAACCTCCTCCCTATTTTAATGCTAGCATAAAACGTTAATTAAATTTTAGCAGAAAAGTTGCAGGGATCCTGCAGTGATATTTCACTTTACAAGCAACTCTTGGCTAATACCGTCCTTATGTAACAGCAGCGGGAAGTTTTATGGAAGTTTTATGCTCTCCTCAGCCCTTCCTTTGTTACCTAAACAGAACCATGCAACAAGCACACCTGCATTTTAATCCTGTGAGAGGAAACGGGTCCAGGGCCTCCTCAGAGACAGCGACAAGTGCGTAGCTCATCAGGAAGAGCCTGTCCTGCCTGCATCCAACCTCCTGCCTCTGTGAATCAGGGCAGGGATGCAAGAAATGGAGCAGAGCTCTTCAGAGACGCTGCCAGGCCAGAGCAGGACACTGGTACCTCATTTATGGCGAGGAGAGAGAGGACCACAGCGCGTGCAGAGTTCCCACAGCAAGCAGCTCCAACTACGCTTATTCCTTCCTTCCCCAACTCCTAACTAACAGGAGGTAAGGTATAAAAGCAATGTTTTCCATGACAGTATCTTTTCATTTTTCTTCTTTTTTGTCCTATTCTCTGTGGGAGATTATGCTTAAAGTGCCCAGAGCTTCAAAGCATCTCCTCAGGGAGAAATTCCCTCCACCTCCCTATTCTTTTTGTTCCCACTCTGCCTCTTGTTCTGGTGCTACTCTCCATTGTGCACGCATCCTTCCTCATCCCTCTTTTCCCCTTGTGGCTCCAAACTATTTCCTTCATGCAATTCCTTCCTCTGATTACCTCCTACCCTTGGGTTCCTCTGCTTATCTACTCTAGGAACAGACTGGGATTGAAAATGGCTTCAGCTCTCCCAGAGATCTCCCAGCTCTCTACCCACTCCCATATCTCTAGAGCCGGAAAAATACCAAAATGAATGTATTCTGCCTTTCTGTTTCACAAATCTAATTCATTCCGATTCTCCCCAAGAAAACAGCTAGTCTTTTTTTTTTTTTTTTTCTTCACATAAACTAACATATTGTATTAATTTGGTGTATGAGCTGCTTTTTAGAAATGGACTGTGTGAACGCACATGCAGAATGAATCAGCCGTGAGTGATTCACAGGCTTTAAAGGAAAACCTTAACAACGCGCTCCGAGGCCGAATGTCTCCATATCTCCAGGCCATTTAGCCTAATCAGGGAAAACTCTGGGGTTACTGCTCTGTTTGCTCTTGGGGAAGCACGTTGTGTCGCGTGCTGAACCTTCCGCTGAGCCTTCTAACACAAGTGAAATGCACGAGTTAAATGTGCTTCATGCGTCAAAGACTTGACGGTCAGCGTCTTTAATTCTATACTGTAATAGTAAATAAGTGAATTGGGACAGTCCGTGTTAAGACTGACATCCAACTTACCTATCGATTCAATTTGAAAATCAAATGTGAGCTCCGATGACAGTTTTCGGCTGGATTTTAACCTGCCTTGTAGATTCACGATTTTTATGCAGCCTAGACAATAAACAGGATGTGTCAACCAACAATTAATCCTCAGCATATGACCTAATTTGAAGACAGACAGTATGCACATATGCACATGCATATGTATATATTTAGTTGAGTCTAAAACTTACAATCCAAACACACCAAAATGGTATCTCTCTCCAGCTGTGTTACATGTACAACACTTGTCTCTGTAGTGTCTATAAAAAAATGACAGTGTTAGTTTATAACAAATTACCATGAAATTTGAAATGGAAGTTCTAGAGTTTGAGACAATTTAATGGGTTAGTGTGTTTTTATCTACTGAAAATCATCATCTTACCAGTGACATTTCTCTTCTCTTAGAAGGCATGTCCACTTATCCAACATGTTGACTGTGACGGGAAAACTGAAGCTGTAATATTAAAGTATGGACTTAATCCAGCCTTTTCTGAGTCATGTCACAAAAGCAAACTCATGTGTACATTGCTGTCCTTTTATCATCTCTTCGTCCCATTTAGTACTGCTGTTGCAAAAAATGCACGCATCTGAGCCTGTCCACACTAAACCTGAATGCTGTTTCATTCACTTTTGTTCTGCCTTTATTTCTGAGTCTTGCTAAGGACTTTTACAGTAGTACTCAATCCTTGCTGCTATTTTCAGACTTTCCATCCCCAGATTTTACAATATGGGGGAATATTTTTCCTTCTCCAGACTCTTAAAGAGAAGGGTTACCGTTTCTTTCTTCCAGGTTACAGCTGCAGCAGTCTCCAGCACAGAAAACATGGGGATCTGACCCACAAGTGATCAGTGGACATGTCAACTCAAAAGAGAAGTGTGGTTGTGGTCTGTTTGTTTGCTAACATTAAAATTACACAAAAAGCAGGTCTTACTAATTTGGCATTGATGCCAGTGATTCTGCAGGCATTCCTTCATACAGAAAAGAGTGAAACTCATTAAATCTGTTAGAGATGAGAAATTAGGGCATGTTACCCAAAATACAAAAGCAGCTCTCAGTCAAACAATGAAATCCACAGTCCCGTTGAGCAGCAAAAACACTCCCCAAGTGGGATGGCAGAAACGTGTTCCCTGAGATGGTCCCTCCATCTGTGTTTGACGTCTTGGAAGGTATATATTTGTGATCTTAACCAATTTCTAATGCATGATTTTAACCGAAGGTGGATATAGCCACAATGAAAGCATGCCAGAGAAGGACTGGACCATATACATCTATGCAACCACATTATGGTCTATGGAAGCACGCGCTGCCCTGGCTGAAGCTAACGAGAGGGAGAGGAACGGGAGAAAGCAAGCCCTTGTGTTAAGTCTGGGTCTGCTAATATAAATAACTTTTTTTTTTTTTTTTAAAAATGTCTTTATCAGACATTTACAAACAAATACAAGAAGTCAGACAAAGAAAACAACTATTTGACAGAAGCTATTTGTGACCACATGGTACGTTTTCCTCATTCAAAAACACTGAGATTTTGTTTGCTTGCTCTATCTCCATCCTGCCAGCAGGGGACAGGAAGAAACCAATATAACACAAGGGTTTACATTAGCGTCAAACAAATAGGAGAAAATGACAACGTAGACACAACCAGAGAACACACAAATGATTCAAGAAGCTAAAAGTATTTAGGAAAGCACAATGCAGTGTTACGTTAACCACGTTAAAAAATACGGGAACCAGGAAGGTATTACTGTTCTTGTATTTACACGCTGATACAGACAATACTGAAGGAAGAATGACAACAGGACATTATAGTTCAAAGAGTTTTTCTTCAGTATGCTACTTTTATTGACTCTACTGAAGTCACCCAGCTACATAAATATATGTATAAGCTTGAAAATACAATGCACTAACTTTGAAGTAGTAAGTGCATTAATTGGCCATCCACTGATCACTTTGTTTTTCGCAGCTATTCTTTAAACCGTATCAGAATCTGACATGTACTTTTTAGCAGCAAGAAAGCAGGCCTCTTTCTAGTGGTAACTGTACTTTTTACTGAGGTCCACAGTACCCAATCACTTGGATTCACACACATGTATCTGCCAGTACAGGGCTACTTACAAATTCACTATGGATCAACAACAGAATTCTGTATTCTTATTTCCTTTGTCCTTAGTAATAGCTAAGTTATTGACTGCTTTTAAACTTGCAAGCTAGGACTGGGGTCCACTCACTGCCGTAGCTAGCTTTAAAGGGAACCCTGCAAGTCTAGAAACATAATTCTTTGTACACTTCCTTCTTAAGACAATTTCTGCTGTTGCTTAGAGCAGGAGCTTAAGTTTCCTATAGTTCTTTTCTCATTCCACAAACATCAAAAGAATAGAAATTCTCTCTCTCTCCCTAAGCAGTAGGCTGATAACAGCATTTTTAGCCTTATTGGCTTATTGCGGCAGGGCCAAACTACACCTAGAACATTTTTGAACAAAATTGCTCAGACTGAAATTGTATTAAAATCTCTTAAATAAATAAGAGTCACGGTGCCAGGCTAGAGCACAGAAAAAGCTCAGTGGACGAGAGGCACGTACAGCCTGATTTATGGAAATGCCAAGGAACCACAACTCTGTCCTCTGTTTTCAGTGCAACAGTAGAACATGAGAGGAAAAAAAAAAAGTGAAGGTGCAACAGGTACAACCAGATACCCCTTTAAACTGAAAACTTTCAATGACCGCTTCACCTTAATGATAGGACCATTAATTTCCTTGGAGGAAACTAACTTTCTGGTGTTTCAACTATAATAAAAGAGCAAGGAACGTGTGTGAATGCAATCACAGTAGCACACAAACCTGTTTCTGTAAACCATGAAGAGGTAGAATTTGGGTTGACAGTCTCAAACTTCACCACTTGGTTGAAGTCTCTCCCTCTACTGACACCAACACAAACTAAAGGGAATTCCTGCTCGGGGACTACCAGCATTTCAAACAACCTCAGCGGACAAGGTACAGGAAAATCTATGTGCTGGATTAAGAAACAAAAAGAACTGTTAGAAGAGAAACTAGTAAAAAGTTTAGTCCAAGTTGCTATTAGACATTTAAACAGCACAGTAAGTTTTATCCAGTACATTTTGTAATATTAAGTTTACTTCTTCAGGTAACAGGAATTGATAGATGCAGAACGCCCAAGTTGGAGATTACAGAGTCTTCATGCCAATTTGGTTAAAATAGACAGGATCTGTCTTTAATCATGTGCTTTCCTTGTGGCTGCCTGCAGACCAGAGTACAACACCCATCGTTGCTCGCCCTAGCTATAGGGCCTCTAAGCCATTGCTTCCCAGGTTGATCGGGTCATAGCAGTTGCAGATATTTAAATAGCTATTTTCAAAGGAAAATAACAGAAGCCAAGAGAATTAACACAATAAACAGCTAATGCTAATTCTTAACAAATCGTTACAAGTACTCTTCTGCTAGTTTTCAGTTGTATTTCACCTTATCGTAATATTACCTTGATTAACATAAATTTTTGCATTGGTTCAACCCATTCCAACAACACAATGCTAGACTGTAGTGCTCCACAAAGGTACTTGTGACCCGTGTATGGATTCCTCACTGCCAAAAAAAGGAGAGGTAAAGTACATCAGTATACTAAGCAAATATAGCTTCTAAACCATTTTCAACAGTTCATACAATTCGGGAAAACAAAAACTCCACCTTAATGCTATATAAAAGGAGCCTGCTGAAAAGTCAACATCCACACTATGGTGGCAGCTAGCATCGAAACAGGGGCTGCCCTTCCCCAGGGGATGAACAACTAACTAGTTGCCATAGTTAGCCATCATGAAGTTTAGGGTTGGTTTTTAAATTGGTAGATGGGATTTGCTGCCCTAGATATTCTGCAAGCTAGGTCTATACATACACTTTAAGTATCTCCCTCCACTATCTTGGTTTGCTTAACTCATCTCCATATTATCATAAGAAGCTGTAGAAGAATGGCTTTTTCTGTGAGACACTGACTCTTCTCCAGCAGGAACTGAACAATCGCTGTCATTTCAGAATTGCTCAGCTGCCTTTGCAGGTGCTGTCATTGCACGTCTGAAACCCAAGTACTCTGCATTTCTGAGGGCCACTCATTTAGATCAGTGGGAAACCCAGTTTTAAAGTGACATCATCAGCTTCCACTCAACTGCTCTTCTACTGTTTATCAGAGCTCAATTAAAAACTGGAAGAAACCCACTAAAGTTGCTAAGTTGAGCACTGAATAATCAAGAAATGCCAAAGTCAGTTTTACAACCTGAATTCTACAGCTTACACAGTAACAAGATCTCACTCCTTAAGCACTGCCAGCACACCTGTCGTATAAGATGGACAAGTGCAACTCCATACCTTGTGCAGCTATGCCTAAAGATCTGATTTTAAAGCGCAACAGAACAACATTGGGCCACTAGGGAACTAAGAACGCAACTCAGATAACGAGTCTCTACCACAACACTACCTACATAAATGAAACATGCTCAAGCTATTCTATTCCCAGGGAAATCCACCGGCAAGCCAGTGGCACTTTAGACCCCAAAGCTTAGTTTCATGAATCCGGTTTCTCGCTCAACATCAGTCAAACCAGCTGCAACAAGCAGGAAATAATGCTTGGCATGACCCTTAGTAAGGCTGAACGCAGCAGTAGAAGCTACAAAACATGCAATTAATTATCAACACCAGTAAGGTGAAGAAACAAGACCAGAAGTTCTGGTCTTTGCCTCCTATGGCACTGCCGCTTTGCCCAGGCCGCGGGATTCTTACGCTGCTGCCAAGAGTTGAGGCTCAGGCTGCACGTACGTAGGGTAGTACGGGGGGGCGGGAGAGCTAACCTCTCCCCTTAGGCCTGTCTTTTGCAGCTCCCTGTGTTGCCATCACAAATTCTCACTTAGTGCTTCCTGCACAATAGGCACTACAGACTTACTAGGCGAAGCTATTTCTGAATGCCAGAAACAGCAGGCTCCCCGCCATTTGCTGTGCCAAGTCCCATGGCACGCTTGTTCGATTCTGGGCCAGTTAGCACAGAAACCGTAAGATTACGGAGGCGCATACCACCTGGCTTCTCATTTCATAAACGGAGACCTTAAAACGTACGGATTTTGAAATCAACGTCCATGTCAGAAAGTCACAGTTCCTATCTACTCTGATCCCCCCTACTCCCCAGCTGACTTCCCTCACTGCAAGGCATGAGAGGCTGGGATTTTTCCTTCTATCAGTCCATTAACATTCACAGCTTGACTAGATGCCTCAATTAAGTCCAGGGCTGGATGTGCACAATACATACTGTTAACACCCTACCACACCCTGAAGGATTTGTATCCCAGCAAAAGTCAAGTTTTAACAGGTGAGCTGGACAAAGAAGCGGTAACAAACAAAAAGGATGTTTCAGCAGTATCGGGGAGATTTTCATCACGATAAATGACAGATGGATGCTCACTTACCACTGAGCGTCTGAAAATCTCCTGCATAATACAACTCCTCACAACAAACATTCGATTATGGAACATTAGGTGAAACATTTCCATGGACAAGAGCTTGCCTCCAAGAGATCATGCATAGGTTACCTTTCCTGTTCTTTTCCTCCTTTCTTTCTTTTTTTTTTTTTTTTAAAACTATCTGCTTCTCTCCCCTTTTTCAAACGTGTTTTAACACATTGCAGCTGTGACTCTTCAGCAGTTGGCACTCTGAACACACTATGAAGGCTTCAGAGACAACACTGCCCCCAAAGAATTAAAAATACTCCTTGTTTTTATTATCCAATATTAATAATTTGAACTTGTGTGCTAGAAAGCACGCTGCAGCTGCTGCTGCTTCTTTAAAGTCAATCCGTCCAGTGAGATGAGGTGAGGTTTTTCCTAAAGCCTGGTTTAAATCTGACATACATTCTGCTTCTCTGCACTTCCTGAGAATTGTCTTTAAACATGGAGAGAGAAATGGGAGAAGTTTTCACTGCTTAAATGCAAGAACTAATCTGAAGGAGTTCACTGCCTGGAGATGCATAGCTTCATAATAGTGTCAGAAAAGCCTTTTCTTTTTTTACCTCCAGAAACTGACTCGGAAAGTCTTAATACTGCTACCGTTTGTGCTGCTTATTGGCATTTATTCCGCAGATCTTTACTTACCAACACAACACTTCTGACACCACTTAGTGTCAGGAATTTTTGTAGACACTGCAAATTTCCTACAAGATATAAATACAGGATTATCGGTCAACTAAAACAATTGAATGAACTTGCTTTTCAGAAAGTTGGTGGTGGGAAAGTTATATTTACCCTCCTCCCCCCACCCCCCCAAACCTAAAAATATATTTTTTCTCCCCAAAATGACATGCCTTACACATACATGGGATCCCCCTGGCAGCACTGAGATGCTGCTAAATTATGCAGACTTACGAATGCAGTTACAAGTCAGGAACGGAGAGAAAAGGCACTTAGCTTTCAAGCATCATTTACCATTATCTCCTGCTATTTAATTATATGTATTTATTGCACATGCCTGGATAGTCTCTTGGTACTCCCATGATCATTACCCTTTGCAATGCTGTAACTTGTTGCATCTTGTTGTTCTGGACGCTGTACAGACAGAACATCAGTCCCAAGGACATCACAGTTCAAGACAAGACACAGGGACCCAAAGGGTGCGAGAAATGTTGCTATACTGGATAGCTTGCTGGGCCAGTCTTCGCAAACTAACGGTCTGAATGTTTCAAAGGTTTTTTTCATAGGCAGCATAGCATGAATTTTAAGAAAAGGTGCGAAGGAAGACAGGAAGGCAGCTCTGCAAGATCTTTTCTTGTGTGCAGGGCACACTTCCTGAGAAACCCTGAAAAATAATTGCTTGAGAATTTAGCAGATAGGTCAGGGGAGATGGTGTAATCTGCCAAAAGTGGGAATCAGTATTTCTCTGCAGAGTAAAAGATAACAAACAGTAGGGAGTAGCCTCGACAGTCAAAATAACTGTTTGGGCTGATGCTGCAGAAAAGATGGGAATAAGTGGAGTGACAGAGTCAGGCACTGCAGCCAGAGTTATGAACCAGGAACATATGTGCATAACATTTCAGATGAAGTTGTCCAGAAGTGATTGATAAAGCAGCAGGATTGAGCAGCATGAAAACTGAGTACTGGCCACAGAGTTCGGCCTCGAAGAACTCACGAAAGGCTTGAAAAGAACTGCTCAAGGATGCTCCTGGGAAAGAAGCTGAACAGATTTTTTTGCAGGATTTTTTTCTGCTGCTAAATGCTTGTCTACTAAGTATCATCAATTAAGCTTAAAGCATTTCGCAGATGAACATGCTGAACCTCACGCAATTGCTTTGAATTCTCTTTTGCTTTGCATTTCCTCTACGGAAATCTTTACTTTTAGTTTATCTACATTTTTCATGCTGCACCATGGTATCCAGGACCTGGCTGGAGAACATGCTTTGTAGTCTGGTAGGAAAAAAATCATTATGCTATCTGCATACTTCAATTTATACTTTTGGTAGTCAGCCTGGCTAATGTTACTCTGACACCTTACAGCCAAGGGAAAACCAGCAAACTGGAATATCTGTATGAGCCTGTCCTGCCTTGGAGTGACTTGCACATGCCGGTTGCGCTACATTTTTCTGGACAGGAAATTTCCCGGTTCCTCTAGGGCATCATTCCAGGCCGAGCGTCCTCTGAAGCTTTTCCTCACGTGACCCTTGTGATAGCTATGGTTATCAGCCCACTGCTGATACAGTCCTCAAGCCAAAGTCATTCAGTCAGAATTAGTTTGGAAGAGAAAGGAACAGATAGGTGGTGCAGGCATAGGCAACACAACAATTTAAAGCACAAATTACCTCTTTGTTAGGTAATTAGAGCTTAGCTTCTAGGGAGAACACAATTTTGAGCAAGCGGTTGCACCATTAAGTTTGCAGAGGACTGAACAGAAGCCTTTCCTGAACGTGATAATTAAATGCTAATAGGCGACCATGGGTCACCGAGAATCAGGTCTGCTGTGATCCAATTCCCTAACAGAAAAGCCTGTTAGATGAAAGGATTCTGTGATTCACTATGCCCTTTAAGAATCAAAAGCTTCTCTGCAAACTAGGTTAGCGTTACTACTTTCTCGTCTTAGATCTGAGCAGGCTCCTCAGGCTTGTTTGGCAGCCAGCACCAGCCCCAGTCTCTGGGATTTTGTATGCCCCTCGTTAGTAAATAAAGTTTGGCGGGACTGCAGGCACAATGTACTGTAAAAGCATAGGGGGATAAGTAGTCCATTATAATACCTCTCCATGTCGTTTTAAATCAAGTCTACCCTTCTACCTAGGCCTGAGAGAAATGACTTGCCAATGACTCATGTCAAATTCACGTTCCAGTTCTACTACTCCTAGCTTTCAAAATGACCCATCAACCCGACCCCTCTGCCATAAGGGCCATCTTGCTCATCCTGGCCCTTTCCGAGAAAACTTGTTTCACCTCTCCAGAACACCTATCACTTCTCACATGATTACTTGTATTTAAATGGATTTCCCCTGCCCCCCCCTTCTTTTTTTTTCGGATAGAACGGAAAATAGCAGTATAGTGCCCAGAGCTCAAGCAAGTTAACTAATGTCAGATCACCATTTCTACCTGCGTGAAGTATCACGTGTGCAATACTGATCCCAGATTTTGTTTCAGAACAAATACAACCAGGACTTGTCATACTAGGCTCCACCTGACAGGAGGCTTCCTGACACGGAGGGTAAAATATAGGGAAAAACTAGTTCTCTAGCAAGAGTATATTCACATCTCGATCCATGTAAATTTAGCTGTCTACCTTCCGATTAATGCCCCTATGAATTATTCATCGCAATCTGTCAACTTAGCTCCAAATCTTCTGGGAGCCACAAAGTTTCACAAGCATATCCTGAACTCTTGGAACCAAGATGACCTGATATAGCTGATTAATGTCTACTTACCTGGGAAGTATTCTGTCAGGGAGTTTGTGTGCTGGAATAGCAACGGGTAACTTTTGCATTTGCCTTGCATAATCAAAGAGCCCTGGTAAATTATGGGAATAAAGCTGAGAAGCTTTACCTGGAAATTAGAAAACAAAAACACACTTCAAATACAAAACAAAATGTACTCCAGCACTACCGATCAAAGATAGCAGAGTAACTCACCAGATATTGATAACAAACAATTATTCATGACATATAACCATGTACACCTTCGAGGAAATAGCTGATAAAGGAAAAAAATAAATTCAATTTTATATACACAAAACGTGATTACATTAAGTTGATCAATTAATAGCTACGTCAACAGTACAACAAAACTAATACTGACTTGCTTTTTGTAGCAGAAATTAACTTAAGCCACATAATATTTACCTGGATACCAGAGTTAATTCAGAATAAATCTTAGGCACACCACTATATTTTACATACACATTAACATTCAGACGTGTGAACATTTTCTATCCATGTCCCCAGTATACTCTAATTAGCCCACAATATGACATTATAAAGATCAATCCAACCTTTTCCCAAAAACTTTAATGGTCACCAACCCTTTCTCCTTCGCAGGAGAAATGCTTAACAACCACCCTCAGCAAACAAGGCATCTTCAGTAAACTACAGCCATTCTCAAGACTACGGTATCCCAAATCTCTTGAAACAATTAAAACTGGCACTTGAAAGGACCTTCCATATGATTAGACACTACACTTAAGTGACCAAGGAAGGCAGCAAATGGTCAAGGCAGAGCTGTCGTTTGTTAAATCCTGTAATTATGAGAAAAAGGAGGCTGAAACCAGTACCACATCCTTCGGGGGGGGCGGGGGGGAGAGAAAAAAAGGAAAAAGAAGGATAGATAAAGAGAGACCCCTCACCCCACCCCCCGGTTCTGGAGCTTGCTGCCACAAGAGGTCACGGAGGTGGGCAGTACCAACAGGGTAAAAAAGAGATTTGACATAGTCACGGCCAACAAGTCCGTAAATAGACCCAAAAAGGGAACAGGTAGGGACGTACCCTCCAACATCCCTAATTCAATGACTGTAGATACTGGAGGAGCCGAAGGGAAAGGACAGCAGGGAGCGGCTGGGCTCGGGGGCACTTCCTACTGCCGCTGTTGGAAACAGGCTATTGGGCTAGACCGACCGACCACTCCCTGGGCTGACCCAGCAGGACATTTCTTAAGCTTTTAATAAATAAATACAAATCACCTCACTGCTGATACATTAAAAAGTGATTTGAAGAGATGTGAAGATCAAGTGAAAGATTTTCTGCAACGGAGTGAGATTAACCTTAGAGCTGTACTAACGCCTGGAAATGTGCGCTATTTTTGCTTCATCCAGTAGAAAAATGAGATGTAGTGGAAAAATAAGCAAGGACACAACTTTTGCTTTTACAGCGAATTTTATCAGACCTAGAGAGTAAACAACGAAGTGAAACACAGGATTAGAAAGTGCTACATGGGTTAAAGCCCAGTTGACTATCATCACAAATAGCCACGTAATAAACGGTCAGCACAGAGGGCACGTAGCGCTTCTATTCCTGATGTCGCCTTATAACCGACGCACACACTATAAAACCCTGCAGTAATAAACTAACAGCCTGGCTGCATCCCAATTCAGGTTGTAGGCTCGCCTGGCCTTCTGCAGTTGCAAGAACACACAAAGAGGATTAGAGACCAGCAATACTTCAAACTCCCAGTTTGCTCGAGCCTGCACGCACTCCTCCTGCTCCACACGGTACTGGCTAATTTTACTTGCATCGCTTCTTGCCTCCAGGTGCTTATTACAACACCTCTGCAAAGCCTCATCAGACAACACACGCAGAACACGGTGCTTAGGAAAACACGGATGAGTATAAGAGCGTGAGTTTCGTTATATCTACTCTCCTTGCCATTTTGAAGACGCTGCTCTTGGTGTGCTTAGCCTACAGGAACTACTGGAGTAGGGATGTTTCTCAGGGTATGTTTCTACAGCCGCAGCGTAGCAGAGAGGTACCTGAGCTATCTTTAAGCTAGCTAACTCAAGCGCCAGTAGCCGATTATGGATTACGTGGAGCTCAGTGCAAGCTAGCTAGGCCGCCTGCTCAATGCGGCAAACAGATCTACAAAGCCTGGACCCTGGAAAACGAACACCAGCGCCTCCAGCTTACAGTGTGAAGGCTGTCCTTGCAAATTCCTCCATCTTGATGGCAGACGCATAGCTCCCTAAGTTAGGGAGAAGGCAGGAAAGAAAACAGGTCTCTTAGAGGTTAATAGAAGAGCCGGAGAAGATACCATACAGAAAAGCCTGCCACTAGCATTTCTCCCTCCCCACTTTCCCCTCCAAAAAATTACTGTTCATGAGAAACCGCAAAGACAGATTTTGAATTGAAGATTCAGTAAGTTGAGTCTCATCATCAAAACTGCTTTTAAGACCACAAGAACGGAACCCAGCAAACAAAGGCTCTCTGCACTTTGTAGCTGTAACATACGTGTGTTGTAAATATTCTACCTTGTATCACAGCTTTAAAGAAAACGGGAACCTTCACCTAAAATATATCAAGGAAACTCCACACTGCTAAGCAAATCATTTAACTGCTGGACAATGCACTACGATGAAGTTCAACACATTAATATATGCAGACCTCCTACATAACCGTGGTTCAACCTACAGAAAACTTAAACGTTGCACATGACTGAAAGGTATCCTTCCTAGTAAACATTTAAGGTCAATCTCAGTGTACCTAGTGCATATGTAGCAGCAGTAAAGAGGATTTAAGAAAACTAAAAAACATTATATAGCATTAATCTAAGTGGCTAAAAAAAGACAAAGATATAATTTTTTTCCAAAACTTCACAACAGAAATATACCTGCTCCATTGATGTTTCATGAAGTTCATTGAGGTTCAGTGTGTAAATACCTTCTTCTGCACCAAATATCAAGTACTGATCTGTAAACATAAATAAATAAATCCAGAAATCCTGATTTAACGACGGTCAAACCTTTACACACACACACAAAAAAAAAAAAAAACCACAAGGAGGAGACAGGGTGACTCAAAACAGTTACATGCACTGGAGCCAACCAACCTTCAACAGTCACTGTGATTCAAAGCACTGAAAATTTATCAGGCCAAGAAAGCTTAAATTTCTGGACGGAGCTGTCGTAAGACCTTGCGAAAGATCAGTTATTTTTGTGGCTAGCAGTATGAACAAAAAGAGTAGTGATACAACTGTAAGCAAGAATTCAGGTGAATGATTTCCACTTATACAGATTAGCCAATTTAAAGATTTCCCTGTATTGTCTGACAGGTCCATGGCTATTTTTTGGAGTGCTGGAACAGCAAGAGCGAGTGCCATGTTTTCACGGCACCTCCACCTCGGGGGTGGCCTCACTTCTTGAGCATCGTTCACCTTTCTTGCAATTACAGCAAAAAGTTAATTAAAAAAAATCTTCATTTGCGTTTGCACACAAAAATGGGACAGACATCTCACATTAAGACGTCAACTGCAAAGACCAGCTTTAATAATTTCAGTTTCTAAAAAACCTAAGTGTTTTCTTGCTTATTTGCTCAGTAGCATCTAGCTACACAGCCCACAAGCAGAAGGTGGGATCACAGGCGTTACGCAAACAGCGTTACCAATTATTCCTTTCATCAGGCTACTGAATAACGCACCCAAATGTATGCAAGCATGAAGAGAGATCCAGAAGCCTGCATGACCACAAAGATTGAGGAAAATCACATGGATGATAGAGACAAATGAATTTGAAGTAGAGCCTCTGGAAGTCAGATTTAAAAAAAAAAACAAAAAACCATCAATCAGGTTTGGCATTTTTGGTGTCAACTGCAATGTTTCTGAATCTCAACCAAAAAACATTTCCTTACCTTTATTTATATGCAATTTATTCTTTTTAATCAAAGCCAAAACTGCACCCCTCATATCTTAATATAATGAGAAAACCCATTTAACTTCAAACAGTTGTGTTATAATTAAGGAAGTTTTTTGCCTGTATAAATAAGTGCATTTTAAAAGGAATAGTCTTGCTCATCTACACACTCTTCAAAACTTCAGGAGAGGATAAAATGGGTAAAGTATACATATAATATAATACCTCTTGAAAACATCAGGAGAGGTAAAATGGGTAAAGATGTACATAATACAATACCTCTTGTATCTGGATTTATCCATGATGTTGCACAATGAATTTTTAAGGGACAGCCATTGAAAACCTTTGAAAAACAAGCACCCATCTGTAAAAACAAAAACAAGTTTTTCTAAAAGCAATGAAAAATATACATAGGAAAAAATTAAATTCTGACATTTCTAACTTTTAAATGGTTTTTTTTTTTTTTTTTCTTGTAACTACTTGAAGTCAAAATAGGTAAGAACACAGTTCCATGTCATGCAGAAATAATCTCATCTGGACAATATATGCTGGCAAATGGGATTTTTTTTTTTTTAATGTTACTTTCTGTATCCCTAAGACCCTTCTGAGCAAATATGTCAGAATTAGCCTTTTTTGGAGCTCCTAAATTAAGAGTCTACGCATGTACTTACTGTAAATGTGACAAAACTGAAGAAGGTTCCTGAATTTTGTGATTTTAAAAACAAACAGTCTCATTTTATTCCTGCCATGTTTAACAAATTTAAAATAAAAATCTAGGTCATCCAGCAATTAAAATTTTAGTCTTTATTTCTCCATGACTTGTTCTCAATTAATTTATTTGCAGTACCGGATGCCTCCCAAAGCAAACCTCTGGCAGATCTGGTAGAAGAAAAACTTCAGAATTAACCCTTTAAAATGAAAAGCAGCCCAACGTAGACCTTTCTCTGTGCCCCAGACATCTCACTCTCTCAGCAGTATCATGAAGGCCATGAGTTGGTCCACATTTACTTCAGGGAGGGAAGACTCAACCCCTTTACAGTAATGAGCTAAACGTGAAGACGACCCCATTGCAAAGGGGAAAGATTTCAGCACGGGTAGCGCTACTGCAGAAGCCTCAGGAGCAAGGCAGGGAGCTCGCCACTTGCTAAGCAAAGAGATGATCCTTCTGCAGGTGCAAGAACAGGAGTAAGAGAGAAGGTATAGATGGTGAGGCGCAGAAACACAACAGAGAGGGATCTCAACCTACTGGCAGCATTCCTTGGCAGCAAGGAGTTTGAAGGAGGAGTATCAGGAAAAATGGTTTTTTTCGGCCCTTTACGGAAGTCTTCTCCCAAGCATGCAGAGGGCCTCCTTAGAAGATTCATCAGACAGCACTCGGGACACTGATCTCCCGAAGAAAGGGGAAATGTTTCTGCTGCTCCCGGCAGCAGCCACGCAATTCTCCCCGACCCTTTCCAAGCGCAGGAGAGACATGCTGCAGACTGGAGGGAAACCATGCTCATGGCAGAGACCTAGCTGAGCACCACAATAGCGTTTGGTAAGAAAGGAGGAGAGGATGGAGATCAGAAGAGAGCAACCACTTTCCCTGGCCTTTCTCAGTCCAGAGCTCTCGGGAAGCCTGCAGAGACAAGACGCTGCTGCAAAGTCTCAGAAGGGTAAACAGAGCTGAGGGTATCACCCCTAAATAACAAACGGATCCCTAGGACACAGCTGAGAATGAGACAGGCGAACTACTAAAACCGAGCTGTCGAGAGAGGTGTTCACCGGGGAAGAAGTGAAGTAAAAGGTTGCAGGAAGGCTGCTGAACTGCCTGCGGCCATGGAGGCGCTTGAATCGGGGAGGGCACTTCAGCAGGCAGGGGAGCCCCTTGTTAGTTAGTATCTAACAATTAAGAAACCCAACGATCAGAGCCATGATGTACCACACAAAAAGAACAGAAGAGATTAAAATATTGTCGAAGTTTTACTTGCAGCAGCAGGATATTTGGCATTTAAAACTCCCAGATGATTCTAGCATGCAGAGCACACTCCGCACTGCAGGAAAGCGAGAAGTCCAGTAATCCCTACAGATCTGACCGGGAAAGTCGTCCCTTCCTGACCCCAAATTTCGTTATTTGGTAACTGATGGAGCTAGGAGGCAGGAAAGGGTATGTTAGTGCCAAATCAGTCTCCAGCATTTAACAGGACGGTTAGAAAAACCTGATTATACATGAAGGGAGGAGCGTGATGAGGGAAGAGGAAGAGAGGAGAAATAGTTCCTAACCCCAGAGAGGACCAGCAGAGCCCCAGAATCGGTACACTACAAAGACAGCATGAGGATGCAGGGACTCTCTTGACCAGCTTCAGAGGTTTTCCTATGCAGTTAGTCTCTTTTACAGCTTCGTTATATTGGCAACTCAAAGGCGTTCGCTGATGGCCAAGGATGCAGACAGATCCCATTTTTATTCTTTCCTCCCTCCCACTGCTGAGGTTCCAGTATGTGGCAAAAGTTCTTACTTTACATTTTGGGCGATTCCTCTTCCTACCCTTTTTCTCATTCCAGTCATCAAGTTGATCTCATTTCCCCCTCCCTGTGACTATTCAGTTCTTCTCAGTGCTAGGAATACTTCCAAATTTCTGCCACACACTCACTTCACGTATGCACACCTAGGTCATGCATTTTGTTAGCAAAACAGGACTGACTTCAATAAACAACGGTAAATGTATCAAGAAATCAGAGCTCTGGAACAACCCTTTGTGTTTATGCAAAAAACTACAACTCTAAGGAACAGAGGCAAGACATCTGCCTTAACCCATCCTGCTTCTCCAAAACGAGTAGGAAGCAGAAACGATAGCATCTGCACTTCGGCCTCTCTGCAGCAATTTTATTTTGGCATCCAGAGGTGAGAAACTGATCTGGCTTAAGGGTAACTCGGCAAAAAAGGTTAGTTTTAAACCAGACCAATCCCCCCCATTTGGTTTACAGCGCAACTACATGAACGTAAGTTCCAGCATGCAGGAGGGAGAACGTCGGGGGCAGGAACAAACGGACAAGAAAAGGGAGAGACGGGCTCTTCTGATGGCAGCGCTGGCTAAAGTCACAGTCATGTGTCCGCACAGATATTACAATGAAATTCTAGCTTACTTTACTTTTTCTAGCTGCACATTGATGTCCAGAAGAGTTATTCCCAAACCTAAAGCACTTAGGAATCCTGTATTCAGGAGTTTTTAAATCTAGAGCTGAATGCTGTAAAATTAACATTCCTGAGGTATAAGGTCCCCAGATCCTATAGCGAAAGGCTGATCGGCAAGTACTTTCAATTCATTAAAAAAAAAAAAAAAAAGTAACAAGCAAAATCTTCCAAAAATTACTTACAGAAAAAAAAAAAAAGGTAACTTGTGAAATATTGTACCTGTGACTTAATGCTTGTAAGAGATACTAGCTTTTAGACTTTTTTTTTTTTTTTAAAATGAACAACAAACATTCAAAAACGTCCTCTCTCAGCTTTAGTTGGAAAACATGTTCTGTCTGGAAAATGCATTTGTATGAGTCAGTAATACTCACGTGTACTTTAGGTGTGGGAGGAAGGCCATTACTAATTGGTTTCTAGAAAACAGAAGTTAAAAAGTATGTTTATACACGCATGTGCACTTATCCTCCCCCACTGGTTTAACTAAAATACAAATTGAAAAAAACAACAACAAAAAAAAAAACAATACACACTCACACCCCCTTTTTACACTCCTGTTAAAAGCAGTTGGTAAGTGAATAGGTATAATTATACTGGCAGAAAATGAAGCGCCAATCCTTTTTTTGCATAACAGAAATGTTTACAAAAATCCTCCTTGCAAATCTTTTAGACAACTAGTCGAATTGTGTTGCGTCTTTCCACGCGAGTGCACTGAGCGCCTCCTGGGACACCCGCTGCGTTCAGTGTCACACGCACCACGGCTGACCTGAGCTGGCGGTGGCTACAGCCCCACTGCGAGCACCAGGTTAGGCTGGAGACCTCCCTTCCAACCACAACGTCCGTAATTCTGTACAAGTTTGCTGGTCACCCCTCCCTAAGGTCCCCACGCCGCAAACTAACTGTACCATTTTCTTTGGTTAAGGCCTCTACTATGATCCCTTAACATCCCCTAGCTGAATTTCTGCATAATCTGTTATACAACGTTTTTACGTTAGGAAGACGCACAAAAGAAATTACAACACCACATCCAGTAACACACGGTTTAAGCGATGTTGCAATTGTTCAGCAGTTCAGCGCTCCAAGAAGTGACCTGAACTCTCTCATTCAGTACTAGACGCGCTTTTCTGTATCAGCGGGATTAAACAAACAAACAAAAAAACACCACCAAAAACCAAAACCCCAACGCCAAGAACGTAATTTTCTCCTAGTAAAAACACACGACTGATGAAATCCTTGTTACAGGTACACAGGAAACTTCAAACATACAATTTCAAAGGCCAAGTTCAAAGCAGTCCAGGAAACCATACTTTCTAAAGTATTGCCAGTATTACTGGCACTTCCTTAAAAAAAAACAAAACAAAACACACCATGTTTCTGACCTTTTTCCTCTTCACTTCCCTCAAGAGCACTGTTTCCAACGTGACCCTTCGCAGAAGCCACCGACGGGTGCAGCTTCAGGTTACGTTTAAGCTGATCTAAACACAGGCTTCCCACTCCCTTCTGTCCCGCATTCCCACTTCCACCTTTGTGTCACAGTACTGGGGTGACCACTGCGCTGCTCCGGTGGAAAAACTCCCTTGGGAGAGGGGAGAGCTGTCGCGCCGCACGATCTCTAGATCTGACGCAGGAAGGTGGTAGGAATGGGGGGCAAGATGGAAGCAGCAACATTCCCTTTCCTCAGTCCCACAGCTGGATCAGCAGATTACGTGCGAGGAGAAACGGCGCGCTCTCTGCTTGAGCGCAACTTCACCTGAGCGCGCGTAGCTCAAGTCCGACACCGCACCCAAGCTGCTAAACCCTGAAACCTGGAGCTCCAGAGGCCAGGAGGCAAACAGTTCTTGTATCTCACCCTCCCCAATGCAACTCCTCCATCTTTTTTCCCCCCCCGTCAGACATTAAGGAGCATGTATGCCTGTGTCTGGGATACGACAGGGTCTCACTCGGGAACAGCCTTGATTTGGATCCTTTCCCAGGGTCAGCCAAGTCCTCCTGCAAGCCATCAGGTGGCAGCATATTCCTCAACTTCCTCGTTTGCTTATACAGGCTTTGCTCAGTAAAACACATCTCTCCCACATAATTTCTCTCCCCTTACATCTCACACAAATGTGTGTGCACAAGCGGTAAGTCTTCGATACCCAGGACTACGTTACAGTTTCTAGTAAGAATTAAATACCGCTTCAAACTTCGGCTTGACTAGATTGGAACCTGGTCAAAACGCGCTTTGACTCGAAGCAAACGAGATGCCATCCAGCACTGTTTCTGAAGAGTTTGCTCGCTCTTTTCCATTTGCACACTGAAAGCAGTTCAGACATTTTAAAAATAATATGTAAACGCTTGAATACCTACCAGTATTTCCTTCTTCTCTTTCCTTGAAAAATTAGTGTCTCTAACTTCATTCGGTTGATGCGGTGATCCCTCTCTTTCACCATTTAACTGTACAGAAGTGACCCCGTTACCTTAAAAAAAGGTTGACGTTTCAAAAGTGTATTCTCTATTTCTACCCACAAATTGAAGGGTAGCCTAGCCTATGAACAATTTTGAAGGGCCAGAATTGTGTCATTTCCACTGATGCCAAAAACGGTCCAATATCATGACTTGTTTCTAAAGCATATGCATTCTTACACATGCATGTACAACTACCTATAAAGCCACATTCAATCTCATTCCATGGCTTTTGGTAATTAGTATTACAAATCTAACGTGGGCAGGGAAAGGGATGCGGTCATGGTTATGAGGAATAACGTATTTAATACATCTAATTCAAGAGAAACTCAGAGATGGCGAACGACTTAGTTATTAATTCTTTACAAAAAGTTAAGGCATCTCTTAGAGCAAGATGTTTACGCATACTTCATACTTCAACATAATACATCCACTGCAGTAGTAAAGCTGGAGTAAGGAAAAATTAGCAAGATACCAAGTAAGAGTCAGATGCTAAACTTGCTTAAAACAAACCAGTTCAGTAGGAGTGCTCAAAGCATCAGACCTTAACATAAGCATCAAAGGAACAGCCTGAGCGAAGAGTAAACAAGCACCATCGCCTGCCGCATCACCCAGCCCAGTTCATTACCTATACAAGGGAACTCTGAAAGCCAAACTCTATTCTTAACATGTTTACAGAACTCAAAGGACATAGTGGGGCAAAACCTGAAACTCGCATGCAAGAAAACTTATTTTATTCCCTGTGACAATCTTGATAACGTTACATTATGAGCCTGTTGCTTAGGAAAGCAATTGTGTTGCCTCTGCCACGAGCAGGAATCCTGTTTATGAAGCTCCACAGGAAGGGGAATTCAACCCCCTTGGAGCTTAAGCATGCACTCTTCATGCAATGTAGCTGCCACACACTTCCTGCTACTTGCCCACTACAGAAAAATTACCGCAGCATGTTTTAACGTGTGCATAGGTGAGGGTGTAGAAACACACTGCACTACATTATTTAAGAAATACCCCGTATGCTTCTTGGTGTCACTCTTATTACCTAAGACGTTAGATTTCTGCGGAGGTAACCGAGGAGGTGGTGGTCTGGGTGGAACCTGAGATGCAGATTTCCCTGGACTCTCTGATGTCGGGCATCTCTTGATTGTCCCTTGATTATCATTTTCAGAAGAATGAATTTCTTGAGGGATAAAGATGGATTTAGGCTGAAAAAAGACACAGTAATACTAATTACAGAATGAAAAAGATTCAAAGCACCTGTGCTGTTCTCAATGAGAAGACACATGCAATACATGTGAAAATTCAGGATCCAAGTAAACTGGCGTGTTCTGCCATGCAGAACAAAACAAAACCCCCCAAACAACCCCATCCTACTAGGAAGAAATTTATAGCAATAAAGAAAGACCATGCCAATGACAATTTATTGAATTATTATAGTCAAACCATACATTAAACAATTACTGGGCATGCTGACATGTTACCCTTTATGACTATGAATAAACCTGGGATTTAAGCAGAAACTCAGGAACTTGCAATGATATGGTCAGAATTTTGAGGAGAGAATCTCAGATAGGAGTTTTAATCAAATTATTTAGACAGATGCTGCACTAATGCTGCTTGTAAAATCCTTCTCAGTTATGCGAAATTCATTAGTGCAGGAAGGAGAGTAATCAAACCTGCAGCTTTTGCCTGGGGAATTGATAGCCATCTGACAACAACAACAAACTTAGGATCCCCCCCCCCCCTTTTTGATTTTTCTCATTTTAAGATAACTTCAGTGCAAGAAGAGTCAATTAATCAAGCGGTAGCATGCAGAAACTAACCTGATCCAGGCACCCATCTAAAGATCATAGTCTTCCTCCAGAAGTTAGCAATGCAGTTTAAAAAGAAAATCGCCAAACTAAGCTTCTGTGGCACTAAATTTTTGAACTACCCAATTCTGTTCATTTTGAAGCATCAGAAGTGCAATTAGTCAGAAAACAGCACTTTCACTCTGGTCAGTATGGTACAGTGCCAGACTTTGTAGCCTTAACTGCAAATCTGCACAAACATAAGGGTCAAACCCCACCTTGCTATACCATTGACTTAAAACTTGATTTAAGCCTTCAAGTCACAGCTGTGACAAAATCCAAGAGAACTGGCAGCACTTTCATTTAGAGACTTCTGCTTTTTTTTTTTTTTTTTTTTTTTTTTTAAAGTCATCCCTTTCTGTGTGTTCCCTTTTATATGGGACAACAAGGCCCCTCACTTACCTTTGGTGGTAAAGGAGGTGGCACTTTAGGTTTCATAGTGGCACTATAAAGAAAAGAAGCAAACAGGTTGTTATCCAGTGTCTCTCTCTGACCCTCATATTGCAGTGTTTGAGAGAACACAGGATTTTATAAATGCTATACAAGCGAACACTGCTAACTTGTCAACAGCACTATCATGCCTAAATAACTGCCTACTTAGTACTTCCAAACCCCGTTTTCTTACTGCCAGGCATACCCCAGACACTTAGCAGGGAGATCTCAAGCAACACAGATCCTCCCCTGCAGGGCATGACCGTCTTGAGCCAGTTTGCTAAAGATGCACATACTTGCGCAGAAAATTCCTCGAAAAATTCATTCCTTGAAAAATTCACCACTGACTTCTTCAAAATAACTTCACACATGAAAGCAAAATCCATCTGCAGCGTACAGCTAGCCTGCTAACAACCTTCTAACATGAGAACAATTCAACAACTTGGCTGTGGAGCACAAGGTATCTGCATGAGAGAAGAGCGCTGAAGCATCAGGGGCTTTCTAAGCATCAGGGGCTTTCTTCCTCTGTCAGTTTGATGTTTTAAAGAACAGGCCGTGTTTTGCTTAATCCTAATGTTTTTAAGAGTCTTGTGCTGTCCTGTTTCCCAATCTTTTGGAACAGAAAACTATTTCCATTAAATAAATCAGCAATACAGCTGTGAAAACGTGGCATTCTTGCACAGTATTTTGCTTATTTGTAAATTATGCTCTTCCAAATTTTTAGGAAAATATTCAAGAAGGGAGATGTATGTTTGTTTGTTTACAGATCAACCACTCGTCTGGTTTGCTTCATCCTTTTCGGGAGTTTCTGTCATGGCATCTCATCAGGATTTTTTGTTTGTTTTTATTTTTGTTTGTTTTAAAGATAAGCTGGAAGGGGAGTTCGGAGAACGGGTTACCCTGCAATGTGTGCTTCAACTACAACGATGGCAGAAATTATCTTCCCTTCATAACGCAGAGGGAGGCATAAGTCCTCAGAGTTGCAGGCGTCCAAGCTCCGTTCCTATTTTGTCCCACACCCATCCTTGCGTCTCAGACGGCCATCACAACGTTGCCGGGCAGTTCGCATGCTAAAAAATGCAAAGGACTTGGCATAAACGTTACAAATGTTTCTACAAAGGACTGCAGGCACTGGTGTCAGCAGCAAGGCTTATATGGAATTTGTCACTGTTGATGACGCAGGGTGGCGACCCCAATAATTTCTGATTTCACAGCTTCCATAACCAGGAAGTCCAGGCATCATCAGTTTTGCTACACGTGAGAGAAAGGAAAGAAGTATCAAACAGTCAAAATGATTAGATGATGGGAAATACTTTTATATTATTCCCTGAAGCGTGTGTCTTCTCTGCTGCTGTGAATCATCCAGCTTCAGAGTCACGCAGCGGCATCAGGCTGGACTGGCAAGGGTACAGCTGCTTCATCTGTTTGCGTTGGGGATCTGAGAGAAGAAATCAGTGGTGTCACACGTGCTCTTCAACCGCAGCTCCATCTCACAGAATATAAATCAAACAAAAGCTCCCAATCTTCAGTGGGCTCCAGAGAGAAAGCTGAGACTGAGCTCATGCCCCACATACTGCAGCAGAGCTTCGGGCCCAAGCTGGTACCAAGAGGACAGTCACGGATGCAGAATCCGTCTGATTCACAGTTGAGGCCTTCAAGGCTTACCCCCGTGCTTATAGGAAAATGTCAGGCCCTCTCCCTAAGACAAGAGTACTTAGGATGGAACATGGGAAGAAGCAAAAAACCCCAGGACTTCCTTGGAACACCAACTGTGCTTGTCCTTCGGGTCAGACAAATTGGAACCTCCTGGAAGCTATCATGTGCTCTCTTGTTCAGCCTGAAAAAGAAAATCCACAGAAACGCGACAGCGAAAGAAACACCTAAAGAAGCCAACGCTATATGAAAGTTCTAACGGAGCTTGTGCGAGAAACGAGGACCTCAAAGCACGGAGCAAAGCAGCCAGCGCTTCAAGATAGCGGGAACCAAGAGGTTCCAAGTCCTGGAACATGACTGAAATCGATGATACTGGCTGCAAACGGAGTAAGAGGGGAAAAAGCAACATCAAGCAAAAATGAAACAGAGACACAGAGCTGTACACAAAAAACAGCTAGAGATTAGTATAGATGGAAGAGGAACCAAGCTGAGCTGGCTTGCAGCAGCGCAGATATCCATAGCTTTTTTGGTGAAGGCCATCAGAACGGAGCTGGTGGTAAGGAGCTCCAGGGGACTGCTATGTTTACTGTACAAGATGCCTGAGTTACCGTTACTAGCATCAAAATCTATATAGCTATGAACAGAGGAGGTTCTCAGCTTGGTCCACCAAGGAGCAACGTTATCACACTTTTCTCTTCAAAGATAACACAGGGGAGTTTCATTTTATCGATGAACTGTGTAATTGAGCATGTCTTTACACAATCACTTCATAATGAAATATGAAGAATCTCTTAAAGAATTAGCAAGAGAATAAAGCCTGCTAAAAACTGACTAAAAGTCCTTTTTCTTCTGTAATGATCACTTGTGTCGAACGGCAAGCATACTTGCCTTTTGAGAAGGTGATCATTAAACAAAGCAAGTTTCATGTGCTGGCACCTGACTGACATCAGACACTATAAAGATCAGTAGCCTTTCCCCTCCTCTTGAGGAGGGCTGTCCCTCCTGCTCAGCACACAGTAATTAAAAATACTGCCTCTGTTACAAGAGAACAGCTGTAAAATAACTCAAAGAAAAATTTTACAGAGATATTTGGTTCTCTGTACAAAAGCAAACAATCCAGCAATAGATAACGCTTGTTTTATAGGTTTCTGCTATGAAGCAACAGCTTCCAAAATTACCCATTAACAGGAAAGCAAACAAGAATCCTGCCTCAATAGCACCTTTCTTTTCTATCTTTACATCGGATTTATTCAGGAATGTAGAATTCCACATGGTGGCTGTGCGATTCACTAAAAATGTTTCAGCTCTCACCTGTCAATCAAAAAAAGCTCAAGAACAGTGTTTTTTCCAGGGGAATTTAGCAGGAACATAACTACTTTAAGACATGTTTATCTGCATGGTCTTTGCCATCACATAAGCTTGCTCCCTCTGTGATAATAGGATGCAAGCTAGCTCTGTCCCCAAATCAAGTAACTGCACAAGCACCCACCTGGCTGAAAGCGCAGCTAGAACAAACTCAGATGTCTTGAGAAGATGGCTATAAATATAGTTTACATTTTTTTAAATGAGATTTTTTTTTGACTAGACAGTCATGAGTTCTAAAGACAAGACTGGACTTGGAGGATTCACTGGCTCAGTATAACTATGCCAAGATTTTGCTCAGTAACAGAAGACGAAAGGACACTGGAACATAAACCGTACCAAGTGAGAAATAAGATTTGCTCCCCCTAACTTATCACAAATTTATCCACAGAATAAGCACAATTCTGGTAATGTAATCTATTAAACTACTTTAAATGTGTACCTTTAAAAATGCTACAGAAAAGAGAATCCTGAACTATTAAGGAGAGGCCGTAATCCAACCAAAATTTATTTTATTTTCATCTATTCAAGAATCAGATTTTTTTTTTTTTTTTTTTACAAGAAGAAAGGACTTACTGTTTAGCATCATCGTCTGCATCATCATCATCTTCTAAATGTGCCACATGTCCCCTAAGGAAATGAACAAGGTACTATGGCTGAGTGAATTTTATTAAAAAAGACTTTGGCTACCGTGAAAAATTCTGAGCTCAAGGGCTACTACCTCTTTTATATATTTTTATCGTCTTTTAGATTTTTATCATTATTACTATTATTATTAAAAGCACAGCTGCAATCCAGACAACTAAGCCTCTCCCATATCTTCTTGGCATGTACAGGGACAAACGAGAACTTGTGACACACATAAGAAATCAATGCACAAGTGACTTTGAAACACACAAGAGGGAAAAAAAAAAAAAGAATAGAATTACCGCTGATGCAGTTCTTCTTCAACTGATTTTAAGAGACTCCTTCAGCATTAAATAAAAAATACGAACAGAGTTAATTGCTGCACACAAACTTAATTATCAAAAGCCAGGGCAAATGCTCCTGTGATTCTATCAGTAAATAACCCAAAGCATTTTAGCTGGCTTTCAGAACATACTTTGACTATCTACATATGAACGAACACAGGTGTATATTTTAACCTGCACTTATTAACGTATTGTTATTCAATGAAGCGGTCCTTGCTTCTTGCGCTGTAAAACGAAATGAAACCTATGACCGGGAAGCTGAAGGACTTCTCTGAGACAGGTACGATTTATCTTTGAAAGAACCTACAATGAACGTTCCTAGTGTCCTACAATGTGAACAAGGGGTTCATAAAGTGATTTCAAGGAGCAGCACTGGTGGTTCCTAGATGGAATAAGATTGCACTCCGTGGGACCCACCATAATAAACATTTTGTTAATAAGCAGACTGAGATAATGGCTCTTCTGGAGAGAAAGCTCATAGCAGCTTAGAGGCAATATGGTCAACACAGCCTCAAACACCAGGAAGTCCTGTAACTCTGCATCATTGGCATTACTATTACAGTAGAAAGAAATAGTGATTTTGGAATGGCAACTGATGTAAACAAGCTTAACACATCAGTTTCAGCTAACATGTTTCATCCATACTTGTGATTTTATATTACAACAGATGTGACTGAAGTAAAGACAGAAAATGCCATTGCTTACTCACTTATTTGCACCCAAGAAGTAGCCACCCTGAGGACCATGACCATATTCTAGCTGCAGATCCTACAAATACAAGAGAACACATCTTTAAGGTGAGCAAACACACAACCTGTGTCATGCTGTCCCTCCCGTCCTCTCTGCCACACCTGAGCCACAGAACGAGCTCGTTCCTCTGTCCCTCCTGGCCCCTAGCACTGCTCTCAGGCCCATCGCACCCAGAAATTTCCTCTCGTCCAGCTTGCTGCACCTCTAATTCCTCCTGAAATTCTGACAAGCGTCCCTTCCTTGGGCACACAGATCATTTGAAAAATGAAAAAAATGAAAAATGAAAAAAAAGGGGAAAAAAAGAGTGAGCCGCAGGGGAAAAAAAAGCAAACAAACAAAAACGCCCCAAAACAAAAAGAACTTTGGGATCTGCCAAACCTCATCAAATTTATCACACCACTTTTTACAGGACCCAGCCATCCCTCACTGACACATTAGAAACATTCATCTTAGATGGGGACTTCTTCTGGCAGGGAGCCCGAAACGCCTTTAGCGCGCAAGGATACTAAAGAAGTAAGCACAGAGGACGCTAAAAGCGCTTTTGTAACTCTGGCTATATTGATATCTATTTTAAGGATAACTATGTATAAGTCTCACATACACTTTAGCGTAGCCTTTTGTATTGAACAGACAAGCGCCGTATTAACAGGCAGCAAAGTCACCTGCTCAAGCGATCGTGGCGTGCAGGTTACTTGCGAAGAGTGGCGGAAGGCCCAAGACACTACTAGGTATGGCATACAAATCTAATTCATTAGTAGGAACACAGAGAGGCTATCTTGAAGCACCATCGCATTAGCATCTGCCAGGAAGACGTTACTACAATTACAGGGTATTTGTTTCTTCAGCTGGATCACAACGGGAGAAATCAGTGCACAAACCTGCTCTCAAACTACTGGCTGTATCCGCCATGAGAAGTTAGCCTTAAGCTAGAGATAAGTGAAGCTCTAGGTAACGTTTTAAAGGTCTCTTAACAACTTCTGTAGAAGGCTTCTTTTAGCTGCAGCCTGAATCAAAAACATGCTGCCCTCAAAGAAAAGATACCCAGCTACCCGATCTAAGAGAGCAATAAGCTTGGATTAGGTAACGGTGACAGCTCATAGGCTTGATCTCCCAAAGGGCATTTGTAAACACCAGGGGAAGGTCTCACGCTAGACTTGCCTGCGCTCCAAGCTGACAAAACACAAGCCACCTCAGCATGCAGTTGAAGGGCAATCGCTTTAAGAGAAAGCTATATAATATTGTTTTCTACTCAGAAAGTACTGCCAGGTTTTGTTTACTGCACCCTCAAGCTTGCTCTGTAAAGGCAGGTAATAGTTTCCATGTGGGTGCTTCTACCACATCTCAGTAGCATTTGATCGCTTCAAATGACCTTTCATATTTTTCCCAAGACAAGTGAAATATTGTGGGAGTCTCCTTCCCGCAAGAAAAGCCGTCCTAAGCCCTCCTCATTTTCAGTCTGTCATTACTCCCACCATCCCCCTTCTCCACCCAATTCCATTTTTGCTGGTCGTGAGGACCATCGGTTCACGTTCTCCTATCCAACACAAAGCTACACAGATTTAAACCTTCTCTACCGTGAATGCTCACATTACTTCTAACAATCTCAGAAACTTCCACTGAAGTCAGACGTGAGCACAGTATTTTTGTCATGCAGGCTTTAGACTGGAAAATAACACGACTGGAAACATAAGATGTCACTAGACCTCCAAACAAGGAGGTGAAACAGGCTGTGGGAGTCCACGTATAAGGACAAAGGACTGTGAGGCGGTTGGAAAACACAACCCCAGAGCGCTACAGTGAAATCGAGATTTTCACCTTAAGTGACAAACGCTTTGCCTGCAAGTTCCAAAATCAGATTAAACACAAGGGAGAAATAAAAGTCTTACGCTGGGCAGAGCCAAAACGTCCGTCCATTTTAATTTGCACAATGTGCAATGCGTGGCTATATATACTGTACAGCAATGACAGGAATATTAAAAAGAGAAAATAAGCAAACCTCCATAAAACAAAAAGCCGTCATCTGTCACCAGACCTTACAAGACTTACAGGCACTCTCTTTATGAGAAAAGACATCTGCCAGAGTCGCTTACATTTAAATGCTTTAAAGGGACAGAGCCTTTGTATTTATTCAGTTTACTGTTGTGCTGTCTACTAGCATTTATTAGACTGTGATTATAATAGGATATGCATATTTTTCTCCTCCTGCCCTTAACCAGCTTGTTAGCGTTCTTGCAAGCCTTTTAAGTATTCCTGCTTTCACCCTCAACGTGGATGTGATTTGTTGCTGGGGAAATTCATTCTTTGCACTCTTGACAGATAAACGCTGAGAGCAAGAGCGCCTTTCAAAAGTGCAACATATTTTTTCTTGTACCCTCAATTCTAAATGTATCCAGCAATTATTATTTCATAAACCTCCACGCTACCTACTCGATATACAAACAGAGGTAAGCACTGCATGCATTCTGCAAGCCTCCAGAGAGCTGTTATACTTTATCAGAACCACCAGTAAACTCATTTTGAAGTCAAATATAAATGTATTTCAACAAAACTGAAGTCTTATCAGGTATGCATTCCCGCTGGGAAGAACAGATTAGCATTAACTATTAAATGATGCAGCTGTCTGTTTAATAAAAGCTGTTACCTCTCTTGCATCCTTAAAGCATCCCAGCAACAGTACTAATCTCCATGAACGTTTTCATGTAACGTACGCACGATGTCGATTAGCAGTAGTTGGCTGAGATTCTTTTTAGCTCAGACAACACTAAATCCAAGTGACCGCACAGATTATCTTCCAGCAGAACCCCGAGGTCCGCGACCGGCAGCCGTGAGAAGAGCGCCAACGAGCTTGATACTAAACCAAAGATGCAGTCCCGAACTACTCTGCAGTCGAGCTCCAGCTACCGGTGACCTCTTCCTGAGCTGCTAGATCTGTGTAAGAGTCATCACTGTGAGCAAAGAGCATGGTAACTTAAAAATGATACTACAGGCAACAAGTACCGATTCTTCTCGCCGTTCTGGATACTGTTATGTGAAGAAGTCTTGCAGAAAGGCCATTCGCACCTTTCTGAGAAATCCAGATGGGCATCAAATTAACCAGTGACTGAAGAAATACTGAGACTTCCCAAAGAGAAGACAAATTTGGGGATACGGCCATGCTATCAAACAAATTCCCTGAGACTGAGCCAATCTACAATCCCTTCCGCATTTTGAATTCCAAAAAGTTATAATCATTTTCTACAATATTTCACAAAGAAGTGATTGTTACTTTAACTTTGATAGTCTTGCTTTCCTGATTAAGGGATTTACTGCCTAGGGCTGAGTTGCACTGGAAATCCGTTGTTACACGTTCACAATCCTTCAAAAAACAAATCTGACGGTATACAGTGAACCGGTAATTCAGTTACTGCCTGCATTTGCTATTCCTCAAACTTTAATCTAGCGATAAACAAGATTATTTGGAGTGACAAAACGAAGACTTTAACCCCACCAACTGCTGGGGAAGTAATTCCGGATTCTGAAGACTGCAAATCACCTTTGGACTATTAACATATATCAAATAGGAAGGTACAGACACATCTCTGTCTCAGTAAAACAAACGATTAAGCAATTCCTATCATTTTCCTCCATAGAGGAGGATGCTTTTCTGAACAAGAGCCTAAAATTACTTAATGCATACGCCATACTTCTAATGCCCTTATTTCATAAAACTTCGCATTCTTGAATTTCTTTGCATAGTGCCAATAGTTTAACCTCATCGGAAATAGGAAATCCTATTTTGTTAACATGACCAAGTAAATCTGCAGTCAATCACCAGGGAGGAACGATGTGCGTTACTGCTGCGCAGCCACGGTTCCCCTTCTTCCCTCGTTTGTACACCTGCACAATTCTGTCCGCGTTCGGGTTATGAAAGTCCACTTGGCACAAACAGTATTATTTCACAGCCGTGTAGCGGAGAGGAACATCACTTTCTAACTACCTACGGCAAGGCCTCGATGCAGCAAGCAACGGTACAGAGCCTTTTTAAAATTGCTTCCCAACAACAAAACTGGAAATCTCATTTTCTCACTTATTTTGGCCAAGGCAGAAATATACCCAAAACTTACAAGGAAGGGAAAAACACAGCAAAAAACCCCACACCCCAATGACCTGAATAAAGCAAACAAAAAGTCCTCCAGGGCAAGTTCTTCATTATCTGTCTCAGTCACTCCTCCTTATTTAACATTTTCCTACTGGTACTTCAATTTCTCTGCCACAAATAATCAATTAACATGTAACAGTTACTTTGAAACACTGCATTCTTAAAACAAACTGTTGCCAAAGACTTCATGACAAATGATGAAATCCAGAACATGTTTATGAGCCACAAAAAGAGACACGACCAAAGCATTTAAGCGGGACCAAACGTGTAAGTGCATTTGGCAAATATAACAGTGCAGACCGAGTGGTAACTGTAAACCTCTTATTGAATTATTTGCTGAAGTCCAAAACAAATGCTAAACTCATAGAACAATTGAAAACAATCTTAAGCAGAACTTGAATTCGATCCGTGAAGGTCCAGCCTAACTCCTCTGCCCCCCTTTCTAAAAAAGTGGGGATTCAATACTTTTCACTGGGTACTGAATAATCTTGTCTGAATGCGGGAACATTTAATTTTTCCCCCAGTTGCAAAAACAAAAACAACAAGCAACACCTCCCACGCAACTGGCTACAGCGTTACCAATCTGTCACCCTGATGCAGACCAGGACCACGTGGGATGCATCCAAGGTGCTGAAGAAGCTGGCTGATATCATTGCAGGACCACTCTCTACCATCTTTGAGACGCTGTGGTGAATGGGGGATCCTTTTCCCCCCAGGATGTTACATACTTGAGACTACGGTACTACTTGCTCCCTGACTGCCCCGCGAACAAGAAGTGCACTGAGTTTCCCCATTCTTTTGGCAGCTCCTGGTGGCTGTGTCAGGAGCATAGGGAAAGGAGGAAGAAAAAGAAGAAAGGGTGGGGGAGCTTGTCACGCCTTCCCCAATGCCTTTTAAAACGCAACCAAAATGCAAGCGTCGATTTTTTAAAAAGGTAACGTGTATGGTGACTGCAAAAAGCTGTCGTATGATCCATTCAGCTGTGCAGAGTGCTAGGCGACAGACATAATCCCTCTATTCGCTCCCAACCTGGACCACGTTCCCTTTTCTAACCCATGACGCCTCAGACGGGTCTCGATTTCTCATCATTTTATGTAGGATCTTGGAGACACACAGCTCTGCAAAAGAGTTGTCCCTCAGGAGGTATTTCGTGAAACTGGAATAGCATGGGGTAGGGCCCAGGTGGAGTGGGTGACATGTTATGCTCATGAAACATCTAATCTTCTCCACTTAACGAGACTTGAAGAAGCCACATAGTGAGCACTACCCACTGAACATATCAGAAGCCAACATCATCAGAGCAGGAGGGGAGAGCGGAGGGAGGGAGAGCAAGCAAAGCTCTGATTAGCATGTCCTGGTCCAAAATGTAAGAATGAACCAACTACTAAATATTTTTCCTAATTTCTGGAAGGATAAGGTCTTGCTGGGAAAATCACCCAGATGAGCGAAGCGCTATCGCCAAAGCAGAATTCCCCTCCTTGATTCACAGTGAGCACGAGGAGTTGTGAAGAACGCAGGGAGACACGCAGAAAGAGCTGTTAACCTACTTTAACCTGCTTTAAAAACCCTCTCATAACCGTGACAATATCAATTCCCTTCTTTATCAGTCGTTACTGAGAGAACAGTAAACAGCACGGGGCAAAAGAGACGGGAAAGGGAAGGTCCAGTTAGGAGGCACGTTCTCGCTCCTCTCTAAGGCCCACAGATAGCAGGCTAACGGGACTGGCAAAAATGCTGAAAGCGACCTGAAAAAAACAAACATAAAACAAGAAAGCACCAGAAACTGGAGGGGGGAAAAAAACCAAAAAAACAAAATCCCAAAACAGAGCAATTGCACGGGATGGAGCTCTTCCCTCTATATACAGAAACTTAAGCTACTGACCTCAAAACAACTTGTGAAATGTCTGTATGCCAAGCAGACCTACGCGAACTTACTTCCAAGACTGAAAAGACATAGCCTAAGCTCTCAGCAATTATGGTACTGACAGATTCAAGTCACACCAAGCCAACTGATTGGGGAGGGGGGGGAACAAACAAACAAAAAGCCATTCAAAAAAAAATAAAACAAGAAATCCCCAGCACACAGCTTTTCATTCCCCCCTCCTCCCCTGGGGACTTAAATTATACAGCTCCCAAATCAAAGAACATTATTAAACAATGCACTTCATCTAGTACAGGATGTTTGTCAATTTTTTCGTGTTTCCCACAGTATGAGAAGATGTCAAATATTCAAAAACATTACTTTTCTAGCTACATAGCGCCCGAAGAGCAAACAAAAAAAGAAAGCTCACTTTCTACAGTAATTTATACGCTGCAATGCTAACAACTAAAATTTTTTTTTTTTTTTTTTCAGAAGTGCAGCAAGAGAAATTTTGGAAAAATGTATCAGAGTACAAATGATGCCAAAGGCCATTGAAAGCACTTACGACCCCACCTTTTTGACTATTCTTTCTATTATTTGTATTAAGTCTATATTCATTCTGTAACATAATTGTTGGGAGAACTCTGAGACTTAAATTTATATAATTTTATAGCTTTTCATGGGACTATTTAATGGAACTACCAAACAGAAATATTTCTATTTCTAATCAAGCTCCCCCAAAGTTAAGAAACTATGCATTGCAAGGCAGTTAAATAAATTTGAATGAGCACGTAATACTGAGCCCCCCTCAATAAAAGTGATTCAACTAGACATGGATGTGGGCTAAATATTTTCAATACTAACATACTAGGAATTCTTTCCTACGTTACAGAAACGTACGGGTAGACTAATCCTTACACTGAACGGCTCTTACGCAGATGAACACACTGGTACAACAACAGGACAAAACACGGGCTTTGAAGAAGGAAAATAAAGACAAAACCAACATTGACAAAGAAAGGCATAAGATGAAAAATACCAGGTTAGATCTTGCAGTGTAGTATATTTCTTCCGAATTGTCCAAAAAATCGCTACTGTCAGGCTGTTCATTAGATAGAGATCAAGAAACTGAAGTTATTTACATTGTGACTGAAAGGCAAGTACACATAAAGGGAAATTTTCTTGCTAAGAAAAAGAGTTGTTAGTTGAGACTTAAAGCACGTTAAAAACCAGTTCTGGGGGTGAGAGGAGGTGTTGCAAAACACGGCTAAGGGTATGGTCACATCGCCACGCACGATCACATGACACCAAAATAATGAATTATTGCTCCTCAGCTGAACCGTGATAACGGGTGACATACCACCACCAATAACTCACTACGCTACAGCGGTCCAGTCCTTTGGCTTGTGCACTCATACCCTCAAGCAAATTAGCATAAAGTTTAAGCATGCCTTAGTAAGATAAGAGCAGAAGGGTCGGAAGAACTGCTTTTGTATAAAGGGATCCGCACTGTTTTTGGTGGAGCAAGAGATAGTCGTTCCTCGCTCCCGTCTCCATTTAAAATAATTTCTTTCTCCCAGAGCGTGTAGATTGTTACAAACTTCTTAGTCTGTTTTCTGCCGAGGCTCTTCACTAGAGCATCCCTTCTCTGAATAGGCCTCTCGCAAGCGTTTGACATGCCAATTTAAATTGTCCACAAGTTCCAGATCTAATGATAGAATATGTTTTTTTCTCTGGTCTCTAGATCCACCACTCTCACTTACAAAATTTTAGTTAAGCTTCCCTCTTGGCTGACAGCAGTTGCGAGAATCAGCGCAACTCTTCTAATTCACCATCTACAGCTAGCAGTATATTACAAAAACAGCTAATGTAGATACAAATATTTGATGTAAGCAGTTGCCTTTGCTTATTGGAACTATCTATCTTGCTTGCAGCAGCATTTTTATGTACGTCACAGTAATTCTGTGACGGTCAAACTGCTGATTGTTTCATAAAAAGGCATTCTTTTCCATTCGTGCCTACACTGAAAATAAACTCAAATAATTATACTAGCGCAACAAACTCCTGCCAAGTCATCGGAAATAAAATATTCATCTTCTAAAGATGAAAAGCATACAAAGTGTCCTAAAATAGGGGAATTTTTATCTTGAAAGGCCAAATTCGGTCTGCATGCTTCATTCTTACACGGGCAGCGGGGCAGTTGATTTCCCTCTTCAGAAAGACCCACACAAGTAGTTACAGATCTTTCTTAGGATAGGGTGATACAGCAAGTTCTTTGGACAGGTTGGAAGGATGCAAACTCCAATAGGAATTCACAATTTAAAAAAAAAAAAGAAAAAAGAAAAAAATGACTTCCTTATCTGCAAAATTAATCTGAATAGGTCGAGTCCCCTCTTGCAGCAGCGAGAGCTTCGGAGATTCCAAAGCACAAAGGTCCTGACTGTCGATACACAATGTGGGAAAAAAGTTCAACCCCTCTCCAAACACGCTTGCCAACGAAGTGCTTTCCAAAGTTGTGTTTTGACCCTTGCAGAGAAACCTCTCCCCTCAGCTTAGCAACACAGGTCGAAAGGGTGCAACAAGAATGCCTCTCTGTCCCACGAGGCTGTCCCGCTTGGGAACTGTTTGTATAGTGAGGGATGGATACAATCAAAATGAATACCTGGAGCGCTAACTGGAAAAGCGTTTCTAAAATTCCAGCTTCTCCATTAAGATCTTGTTGCAATTACAATTTTCTTAAAGAACAAAAGCATGATATTGAACTACACGATGTTACCAATCCTTTTCTTTGGGCTCTAACGCAGCAGGGAAGCAAAGTCCTGATAACTTGGAATCACTCCAAAGAATTATTTTGAGCTAACAGGCATGTTGGTGGTAGAAACACTCACCTTTTACTATCATGTTCAGCGAACATATTTACAATCAGGACCCCTAAACGATGCTATTAAGCTGTTGAGTCAAGGGCTATAGAGTATATCTGAAATCACTGAGCAAGTCTCCTGTCTTGAACAGACACCAGAAACTGCAGACTACCTGTCCAGCCAGTTGCTGAGGAAGAGTGAGATTACATACAACCTCATTCACCCAGAGCTGCTTGGCACGCTACCAGAGGACAGGGCACTGTGAAGGAGACCTTAAGTACGCTACAGAGCCATACAAGGAGATCTGCGTCAGAAACCCCACGCGCGTGGGGTTTCGTAGACTACAGGAGAGGAAGCCCATTCCTAGGCACACGCCTTTCCCGAAACCAGCTCCAGGAGCAGAGCTGGCGTCCCTCCCCCTGGTAAGAAGCCAGCCTTTTCACCTTAACACTTGCCTTAGATAAGCAGACTACAGAAGCCTGCAGTAAGGAAGCAAAGGAGTGTCTTTCATCAGGAATGAGAAGGAACTGCCCACGTGCACAAATGTGGAAAGCAACAGTCTCCACGGAAGAGAGGAAGTTACAGCAACAGCGTGTATGACACAGCACAGACACCTTTTCCCCCACTGCTTGCGTTCTCATTCCCCTTGTACTGTGACAGATCAGTGGGAAGAAAACAACGAAACACTGGCAATACACCTTTACAGAACATGCCAACTGCCAGACTCAGTATGGCTCAGGTGTGTTTTAAAGGCTCAAAGCGGGGGCCGCAGAAAATTTATTTGTGTGGAAAAGTAATAGCAGCATAAAGATCTCTGTCTTTAGGGCATCATAACTCTTCCCAGCCTCCCAATTTTATGATTGTTTCTGGTATCAATCACTGTCAATGAGAGCATGAGGGAGAGCAAGACTTGAGTAAGCACGGTAATTCTATAATTAAACAAATAATTCTGTAACTAAGGGGAATGATATACTTGGCAATGAGGTATAAAGGATAGAGGAAACCCACAAGACAAAGGGTTGTTGCTTACCACATACATCACACCTGACAGAACCCACAAATAAGGGGTCTTGCTGCATATAGCATAGTGGCACCAAATGATTTAGGGCCAATACGTTACCACTTACAAGGGAAATTGCTAATAAATTTAGTGGTGCTAAGAAAGTATGCCACGCATCTTAGATTTCCCCTCCTCTACGAATATTTGCAGGGATTAATATGCAAAGCATAGCCCATGCTACTTGTTACTCACAAATTCGTGATGCGGCTCTGTCTCCTTCCGCAAGGGTGGATCAAATTTTACTTGACCAACTAGAGACGGGAAAAAAAGAAAAACAAGAATTCAAGTTGGACTGAGATGAGAAAGAATTTAGCTCCAAAAGTTAACAAAAAGAAATAATTCACATGAACCAGCGTATCTTATCCCCACCGATAAAGACTTCTGACGCGTGCACAACTTGTGCTCACTGGAAAGTAACAGGCACAGAAATTGCTCCTTGTCTGTCACAAAGACAGCACTGTCATCACGTGCCCCATTTTCTCGTTAGATGGGCCAGGAAAAGGATTTAGAGAATAGGACAGGGGAGTGCCCTCTTTAATGGGGTAATATAGCTGTAATTTATAGGAGAACACATCCGCTGTGGGAATTCACTCTTGGATCTGTTCTTCCAGGAGACTCACTAGCACTAATGATCTTTGAACGGGAGCGCTAATCACACTTTGTAGGACAGGTCTTTGGTAGACACTCTTAATACTCCTCCTCTCAATTTCAGCTTAAGAAAAAGGCTTCAAGCATTACTCTGGTTTAATTCAAGCAAAGGAATAACTGCATTTTAGGGGACGGAGTCTGGTTTTAACAGCCAGTGATCAACCTCCTCCTTTCCCAATTTCAGTGGGACTTGTTTCAATTTGAGAGTAAAAATGACAAAAAGATACTAAATTAACAAAGGATGAAAAAGCTGCCCCTGCAACATCTATAAAATGGTGCAGATTTTCATTTCAGCTCTACAGGAATCTTTGTTTTTTGACTGATCAGTCCAAGATTTAATTTAATTGCAATACTTTTTCATGTTCAGATACCTAAATACAGTAGATCTATTAAGCAGCACTGTAACAGTGTGCTATTCAGCAGAATCTGGCATCGCTCTGAATATCCACTGTGGCGTGAAGCTGCATCGATCGGCTCTCTGGAGAGTTCAGGTTATACCCTCCTCAATTAAGATGAGGCAATACTGAGATTTGTTGGAGTGTGAACATAAAAAGACTGAAATTCAAGTATTTTACGCTAATATTTATTCTACAAAGTTATTTGGAGCCTATCTCTGTAGATGAAACTGCATGTGTTTTTATTTTGTTCCGTATCAATAAAAATGTTTCTATATATGCCAGATACTCAGCAACCCCAGGGGAAGTTACAGGTGAACATCAATAACTGAACTGAGAACACTTAATATACATATGCTTACAGTTTATTTCAGAACGTGTTTTTTCTTCTCTCACATTTCTACTTGTTGAATGAATTCTATGAGGCACTACAAGGGGCTAGAAGACAAAAAACAAGAAGCTTTAATACCAAGGTATATTCCCTTAAAACAAAGCATCCTTGCCCTGTATTGTGTACCAGGTCTTTAGCAAGTTCCTGCAACATAATATCAAAAAAGAAAGAATCAACTAGAATTATTTGGACACCTTCCATCTGTAGAACGTCTTCAATTTCAACATAAGGGTTTTTGAACTCTGGATCTGAGGAGATAAAGTCAATGCTGGCCAGCAGTTGCCTTTACTCATAATATCACAATATCACATTTTCTTTTTGCACCTTCCAGTTTAAGCGTATTGATAACTTCCCAAATAAGCAGCAACACTAACTCAAAAGTGACTGGCAGTATTTTGATTTGTTTACATAGAAGTATCCTACTCATATCACATTCCCAGCTTCTCACCTAAACTGGCTCCCCAACACTCATCAAATTAGCTTCTCTAAAGAGATGACAAGGTAGTTTGAGCTTTTCAGAGCTGAACGCAGGACAGAGTATTCCCGGTATCCTTACGCTGTGCGGCAAGAAGGATGCCATCATTACCACAAATTCACCTTGACGTTTATGCTCCACTTCTACTTTTCCCTGGAGTTCTGTTTACTTCTGCACAGGATGAAGTGTCACGAACCTTAAGACTTGGCTTTATTTTCTTTCCCTCTTCTGGGTTTCCTCTCTTCCTTCCACATCAGCTACTACAGGTTTTCTTGGAAACTACTGTGTAAAGTTGCTTAACAGCAGTACCAGAGCAACTGACTCCTGTACAAACAGGCCCACAAACTAGCAACATAAATCTCAACAGTGCTTTCTCAGTATGTCCTCTGTGATAAAAATCTTACCCCCTATTAAAAAAAAAGTTAATTCTTTCTGATGCTAGCCCAAGTAATCTATGAGTAACCTAACATTAAACAAGCAAAGCAAACGTTCGCTACCTCTTGCTGTTGAACGAGTGGCAGTGAAGCAACTTTTTATGAAAGCAATCCAACCAGCTAGTATCAGAAAACTATACTACTAATCATAATCTTCCCTTGGCAACTTTTGACTAGGAAGTGACGACAGAATTAGAGAACTTCAACTGCTATACAATCACAAGGAGTCACAAACCACGTTTATCCCTGAAAGTGTTATTCCCCTCCTCCCCTTTTCACCTCACACAACTTCCTTGCTTTATGTTAAGATTCAATACACTCACACTGCTTCACCTCACGTTTATGTTCACTTTGGTCTTTTTTGAAAATGCAGTCTCCAAGATCGTGGATATGTACTTTCTCCTACCTATCTCACAGGCAGATTTTCACCTTTTGTAAAGTGTCTCAGTTCTCCCCTTCTGCAGTTGTCTAGTTCGTCTGTTCTTCTGAGCTTTAAAAAAAAAATGGTTTGCTACAGCTCAAGATGCATGCTGAGGTTTGATTTGACTTTCTACTCAAGCATTTCAAACACTAAGGGCTAAAAGGTTGTTTATCTACGATTCTTTGTGGAGAAGCGTCTAGCTGCACATGCAGCGCGTGCACGTTTATAACACAGCCATCAGAAGCCAGAGTCTGGGGGTGAGGCAACGTAGCATCATTGCTCGAGTTCCTCAGATCCCGTCACAGATGTTTCCGCTGCACTACAGGCGGAGCCTGCCCTTACCTTGCATTGTCCCAGCCCCCAGAATTCCTGGAAATCCCCCCCCCACCCTGCCCCGGGAGCCCACGGGACAGAAGAGAACAGGTTGTAAACAGACACAAACATCACACATTAAAGAAGAGTTACAGTTAAGGACCACCCACGCCCCTGAAGTGCTGGCCTACACATCAGTTCATATATTGAGCAGCTCTATCGATACTAGCAGCAATGGGAAGAAGAGTCCCAGAGCCTCTGGCCGAGTTACGAACCAAGGACAGTTCAAAAGCTGGCTGGAGGCTCTAGTGACAGTGTATCGCTCGGCAGGTCTGCACAGAGTCCCAGCAACTGCTCCATGGGTCCCACAAGCAGGAGCATCCCAGAGGGAATTACTGCTTGAACTCCAGTTAGACGTGTCACAGTTACGCTCTTCGATGAGACCAGTCAAATCCTCATCTCCCTGTCACAAAGGCAAAAGTTCCAGTCACCTGGAACGCCCTACCCAGGCAACGAACCGATAGAAATAACTGACACACAAGGTGTGCAAGCTGTGAATGAGTACAAAAGAATATAGGTTAACTTCCTGACACAAATGCCATTCAGACACAGCTTTAAGTGCAGCACGGAGCACAAGAGCAATCTCTGCTCCAAAACATACAGCGCATGAAGGAGCGAACATAAGCGCTTTCCTCTTTGCAGCCCTTTCCACTAACACTGTATCCATCACAGGAATCACTGTCATAAAAATGTGGTGGAGAAGCAGTTTCCAACAGCTCCAAAGGTTTATTCATCAGGGGGTGAACAAAGAGTCCCAGATGGAAATCCTGTCTTGGATTGAACGGGAAACCAAATGGTCCTTCATTACTTGGGTGGGAGAAGGAAAAAAGCCACAATCACAGATTTACTGTCAAATGAATAACGACTGCATCAAGGGGAGACCTGTCTGATTACATCTGAATAAGCACACTGCATGCTTATCATCTTTTGTTCTTCCACAATATTAACCACATTGAACATGTTACCTTTGCCTGAACAGAGTTAGGAATGATTTGAAGATGTAGTAAGGCACTCCTCAAAGAGGTGGCAAATCCACATCTTAAATCTGCATCTTGCTCTCTCCCTCACCCATATAACTCTCCAAAGTATCCACAAGGTAACAGACAGCATCCCCAAAAAAGCAGCGCGGGCCAGGTGAAGAGCTGGCACCACAGTGGGCAGTGACTTCCCTTCAAAGAACACAGATAATCAGAAAAGCTCTCTAGTCTTCAAAAAAAGATATTAGGGAGTACGTCTGAAGCTCAAGAGTCTCACCAAGGCTGTACCATCTTACGTTGCTTCTTTCCATTTTTGAGGGATGCCTTCAGACGATTGCCTCTAGTATAGAGGCAGATATTCCCCAAGTTTGGATGAGCACCTCCATCCACCTCTATGAACAGGCAGGTCTCGGAGCAAGCTCAACTGTGTATAAAAAGAGCATGCACATTTCTTATCCCCTTTGATTTATTCGGGGAATGACCACAACGCCAACAACTGCTTGATCTGTGGCAGGACTTTTTCTCATCTGAAATAGAGACCTTGCTCAAGATGCATCAGACAACAGATCATCTGCTTTGTTCACAGAAGAGGATTCTACGTTGCCTTCTGTGTAAGGAAGAGCTTTCGCAAGTACCACCACCAGTTTTATTTTACAGGCGGATTAAATGCCCCAATGATGGAATGCTATCTGGTAACACAGTTAGATGTCTCTTCTCATTCCTCTCCTGAGTTGTCTGTCAGATGAAGAAGAATCAGCACTACAGGTAACAGTGATTGAAGCCCACTGAAGAGCTTGATGCCATGCGATGACTAATGATGGAGAAATAACAACAAACTTGACTAACTTTGTAAAGAACAAAAGCCAAAAGACACGTAAGACAGCTTGCTTGTCCTCAGCACTGTCAGCTAGCCTAGCTCCACTATAAATAATGGAAATAAGCATCTTCCCTGATGAGTTTGCTGCGAGTTTGCTTTCTTTTCCTATTATTTTCTCCCCAGACAAGGCAGAGCTTTTTCCTGATACCATGCTTCATTACGGGATAACTGGTAAATAATATACTGAAGAACAGAAGACCCTTCCTAATAATAAGGCAGAAGTTACATGAGAGAGTGAAAATTATTTTGAAAGCTGCAAGTAATCATCAATAAAATGTGTACTGAAGCGATGCCATACAGGAAGAGAAGTGAGATTCTTCACCTGAGTGGCCCAAAATGAAGAAGATGGGGATTCCTACTGAAGATGCATGCAAGTAACACAGGGAGATGGCACATCAGCAATTCAGGACAACTTTGAGGAAAGCGCCACAGGGCAAGCTACTCTGATCTGAGCAGTCCACCGATAGGAAGCACATCCAAAACAGATTCCTTTCCTTCTTACGATGGCTCATGAAAGCACTGGCTTTCTGGTTTCAGCAGAAATACTGCTTTAGGCAGGCCTCAGAGCTCTCGGTCATCACCGAACTAAGAAACATCTGATCCTTGGAAGTTACCGTGAGGAGCAGATCTGAGCCTCTCAGTGCTGTCTCTGTCAGCAGTAAGGAATCAGACACCTTTCTCTTAACACTGAGCTGAAAGTAAGGGTTTAATACAGTAAGGGTTTTCTTGTGCGTTTAACTTCACTGAAGAGTTTTTATAGAAAAATTTACTATGGGCGCTCCTCCACTTGCAATTATTTGAAAAGTACTGACTATTCAATCTTTATGCCTTCCTCTCCTTTTTCCCGCCTACATAAAGAAATATTTAGCAAAAACTAACACTGCCCTCTGCAATAGAAAACTAGATTTCACTTCTTTTTTCCATATTTAGTTCAGCTTCTAAGGAAGACAGAATCAGACCCAGTACCTGTCAACTTGTCTTTGCTGTTCTAGAAGGTGGAAACTCAATTAACTTGTAAAATCTGAAAGTGATTATCTTAAAAGGAGTCGCTCCTTGCGAGACTATTTTCATTTAAAGGCATTTTGAGACTAGTTTTTCCGTAAAGAAAAATAAAATATGTACGTATGCAACTAATGAATCAATGAAATTTATGGGAACTGTAAACATTCGGAAAGTCTTCACTAGTATAAAATTAAGCGTGACGATGGGATGTAGTAAGAAAGTATTTATCGTCTCTTATTTGTGAAACACTTCAGTCCTGCCCAGTTTATCATTCTTACATAACTATGCTGTTTTTTTCTCCAGCTGCTAAAGCAGAAAAGCAGAAACTTTGCCTTTGACAAAATCAAAAGTGAAATCAAACCTCCTAGGTTACTCTAAGATTAAAAAAAAAATATATATATATATATATAATCTGCAAGAAACACACACACAGAAAAACATTTGACAAAGCACATCCATGGGATCCTTCTTTTTCTTCTTCTCATGTCAAACTTGAGCAGACATAGACTAGAAGCAAAAGACTAAGTTCTGTGCGAGTGTGAAATGATTTTTATGAACACTTCCCTTGCAGACGAATGGGAACATCGCTCCATGACAAAACAGAAGGCATGAGGCATGCCAGAACTCCGGACTGGGAAAGTAGTCCACGTTTATTTTTGCGACACAAATTCTTTCAAGGACGACAATAAACGACATTTTAAAAATATTTAAATCTCTTGCTCTTCGAGCTTCTCTCCCCCAACTATAACAACACCGGTAAGCGTCTGTACATGTGACAGGGCAGCACAGCCAGAAGTAAAAGTAACCCCTGAGAGTATTCCAAGATCACAAAAGGTTCTGTGGCTCAATAGATACTATTTATGAATCTAATCATTTCGTTTTGTTGGCAAATGAAATCCCAATCTGATTTTATGAATAAAATCTATTCCTACCTCAGGATCATCATCATCAAAATCATGGTAAGTGGAATGATCAGGATTGTTCATTTTATCCAGAAGTTCAATAGCAAGACTTCGATTTAATGGCTGGGTAACAAAAGGATGCTGAAAGACAGCAGAAAAACCACATTAAAATGTTCAGTCATGTTAAGCTGATTTGAATTTCATAACATTTATAAAAGGCATACACAAATGTATACCTGTAATAATTTTTCAGCTGTAGGTCTTTTTTTAGGATTCTTTGTAAGTGCCATTTTCACAAAATGATGGAAACTATTGGACCTGCAAAACGAAATGGCAAACATTAGAATTCCTTGTCCAGCAAAATATATGATCGTTATCAACTGAAACAGAGAACTGCTTACCATTTCATTTTGTCCTTTAGCTTAGGAGGCTGGAAGTTGCTTTTTGTCATCAGAAAGAGTGCCCTGCAAAAAAAACAGCCTTTCTGTGGTTTGCATTGTGATACAAATACTAGAGAGATTATTAAATTCACTATTTGTTCGCAGTAAAAAGTCCACAAGGTCACACGTTTATGCACCAAAAAGAGATACAGTTTCTGCCACGTACATTCAGAACACTTAAAACTCAATACCCTCGCAGCAGCCCCAAATACTGCAAGCACACGTAGCCAGCTACTCTACATGAAGACCTAATACTGAAACAAGCTTTAACCATTTACTAACCTCATTGGATGCAAGTCAAACATCGGAGGCTGAAGCTCGGCAAGTTCTATAGCAGTTATTCCAACGGCCCAAAGATCACACAGTTGGTTATAGCCACCTTTTCTTTCCACTGCAGCAACTTCTGGTGCCATCCTAAAGGACAAGACACTTTTCTTTTAGATACACTTCTCCAAAAAAAAAAAAAAAACCCAAAAACAAAAACCCAAAAACTTTTGTAGGCAGTAGCTTGCTATTCATTTCTCTATAGCTCTCTATTTATAACCTTATAGTATACACATTTATGAGATTTTATATATATATATGTATATATATGTAAAGGTATATAGCGCATATTTTTCTTAATTTTAAGCTTCTAAATTTTACCATGCTCCACAAAACTTCAGAAGAGGCAAGCATTTTTTCTTTACTCTGTCCTTTTCTTTCCAATGAATTAACATTGTGGTACTCCTCCATTTAATTGAGAGCAACGATGGGAAAATAATTCCCAAAACAGAATCCCTCCTTCACTGGGGTGAACATGAAGTTGTCATCAATCGTCTTCCAGTGACTAAATGGGCAGTTTCGAAAACAGCTCTTTGTCGGGAAGTAGATGAAATCATGAAATCAATCCGTCTTGGACTCCTTTTTTTTTTTTTTTTTCAAAACCACAATAGCAAAAGGAACTGCCACAGCCCAAGATATAATTATTCAACTAGAGTAAAACCAAAACAAAATTACACATCATCACAGAAAGTGATCAACTGACTTTGAGGAGAAGCATTCAAAAGAGGAACGTAATAAGCAACAGCTTTCTTGTCTCCAGAAAGCATGACACCTGAGGACTTATTGTCAGCGCTAAAACCTTGTCTGTAACATCTCTCTCATTGCAACGTTGAAAGACCTCATTTAAGTTTACAAAGTAGTTTCAGATCCTCAGGTGGAAAAGTTTTACATACATAACTGACCTGCATAAATAGGAATAGCTAAAGAAAATGATTCGGCAGGCAGTGTCACACGTTTTGGATTGCTGAAATAAATTAGGGATTTGATTGTCCTGCATAGCCGTATTAGACAGCAAACATGTTAATGTTTTTCAGCTTTGGACTTCGTTAGCCCAGGAGACCACAAAACCCCCCCATCACAGCGGAAGGAACACAACGTAAGCCAGAAGAACGCGACTTACTGAGCACTGCGAAACAGCAGGAGACAACTTTACTTAGGAGATACCTCAAATGACACGTTATTTAAACACAGATATCCTTATCCACGGGTCTGAAGAACTCTGCTGGAATTCTGGAACAAGCTAAGTCATCAGATCTGGCAGCATGACTTATTTCCATTTGGATAAACTGTATTGACAAAAGTTTCCTCCAGAGTTTCACCTGGGTAATTTAACCTACACCACGAGTCCTCAAGTGACTGCCTGATGCTCCCAAAGATGGCTCAACAGATTTTTGTGTGCATTAGACTTTGGAAGTAGGGAGATTCCTTTACCAAAAGCATCACAAACTTAAAGAGCTCGTAAACGAGAGAGCAAGAGAGATGGACAGACAGGGAATTTAAATCAAAAAAAGGAAGCTACTAAAGGAGGAACACGGAGTTATTGAGGTAGAGGGGGAGCAAGGGATAATTTTAAAATTAAATGGAAAAGAAATGAAAAGGTTAACAGCTGAGTTACTGGAACTAAAGACACTGCATAGTTTTCCCCTTTGTTTTTCTGCTATCCAACCACCATATCCTTGCCTGCTCAGACACCTCTAAAGATCACCAAACCCTTCACCTCCCTTCTGTTTCTCAATTTTCCCCTCCGTTCTCAACAGTTTGCTTCCTTGCTTCTCCTCCTGAATCTCTGAGAGGCCTTGCAAGGGAAAATTGGTGCTTTTCATCAGTATTTAACCTGTGCAATGCTTTCAAAGTTACTGTTTAAGGTTATGGCACGTCATTCGAGAAGGCTGGCACAATTTGGAAGTTATGCAGTGACAGAGGTCGGGACTGCGGTCACCCAGACGTCTTAGTCGGGAAACAGCCACAGACTACTTACGCAATGGCGACTGCGGGGTGCTCGCGTTACTCTGAAAGGGAAGTGAATCCGTGCCTTGGCGTGACTCGCGCCATGCAAGAATGCTAAAAATGCTGGGCTTGAGTCTATTTCAAGTCTGAATATTTGGATGCAGTTTTTCCTCCTTTACGTATGCTTTTTCTTGTACATGCTATACTTTCATACAGAAAACCGAATACTTTTCGAGGAAGAACACACAACAGAAAAATTGCTATTTTACAGTGAGGAGCATGTTATTGACTCTAAGGCCAAAGGGAACAACCATCTCCAGCACAGAGAGAGCAGAGAAAAATAAAAAGCTGAAACATAACAAGTATAAATGATGCAAACTAGTTTACTCAGGGAAGGATTAAGATGCAGCATGGATTGAGTAGAAATGTAAGTTTTAGTTCAATCAGTATAACCAAGTAAGGCCAAAAAAAGAAAAAAACACACAGAAAAAGAAAATGGCTTAAAGGAGACATTTCAGACATGGCAAAAGCATCTGCAAAGACAAAAGTGAATCCTCACTATGAACCAAAGAGTTGCAAAAGAGACGTAGCCTGGGGTGGAGGGAAGGGGGAGCATAAGACACCAAAACAGATGATTAGGAAAGACAAATCTTAAGATCAGAGTTGAAGACGCATACAACTATAGATAAGTTGAAAAGGACTGAATTGAGATACATTAGCCAACAGTAACAGCAGCACATCATTTCATTTTTTCAGAGCATTACAGCATCTTGTCTGATGCTCAGGTAGTTCAGGTTTTAGCACAAATAATTCAAATGTGATAGCGAGAAAGTCTGACAACCGTCAGCGGTTCATCTACCCAGAAAGTTATGCAACATGCTTTTAACATAAGTTTTCAATGGTGTTATATATTCTACTATTATATTAACAAATAAATAAAGCAATTACCAGTATGGGGTGCCAATGAAAGATTTCCTTTTGGCAATTGTAGCTGTTATCTGTGCAGATACTCCAAAATCAGCTAGAAAAAGAAAAAGATGACCATTAATAACAGAAGTAAAGATTCAGTGTAATTCATTGCTTATGAACACGACCGTTTGGTTTCTCCACTTTAAGATTTTTTTTTTAAATATATTGGAAATATTTCACAGAAAATAAACAGTAAAAGCAAATAATGGAAAATTGGTGACTCAAATTGTCACCAATTGTCAAATTGCAGCTCTTCTCAATCACCTGCCAAACACGCAGGCTGCACACAAACATGTCAACACAAGGAAGAAAACGGCTAGTACAGAAATCCTAACAAACTTGCACTCTCTTAACATGAAAAAATACGCCATTTCACAATCTCTATGAGATTCTTTCAGGGAGTATTTTAAACTACACTTCATACCTAGGAACTCTAGATGGTACTTTTTATTAAAATGAATAAAACTCTCTGATCTGATTTTTAGCTCGTCTTCTAAATGCCTTTTTTTTGTATTTCGTTTAAAAAAAAAAAAACAAACACCCCTCAATGTTCCAGAACTATACCCCAAATATTCCTAAAGTACCTCCTTGTTGGTGGACAGTTAACTATTACCAGCAAGAGAAAAATAATCCTGATGTGTCCCCCACTGATATTCATTAATTCCTTACACAAACCGTTACATCAGATTAAAACCAGAAAAAGTATTCTGCGTTATGTTCAAGAGTACCTACAAATTTAACAGTTTTATTAACTCACCTAATTTTACATGGCCGTTATCCGTTAAAAGAATGTTTGCTCCCTTAAAAAAAAAAAAGAAATCAATTAAAACATGCAGATTTTTATGATACTTGATTTCAAAAAAAAATCTTTATGGGAGACCCATGATAACCTAGGAGCCAAAGACAAACCAAGGATTGTGCGCTCAAGAAATCTGTAGCCTTATAACGGAAATATTTGTGAAATTAGCAACTTGCCATTCTATTATGTAACGGAATTGGGCTATACAGGGTTTTTCAGGAAGTTTAAGTTTAGTCCTCTTTAGCCTACGGTACTACAGAGTTCCCATTGTACGCAAAACCCTCTCAAAGAGCAGAATTGCACGATTTGCCTATGCTGATGAATTCTTACTGTCTTTTTTCTATTTACACTGATTGAAAGGAACTAGGAACTGTAAAAGGTCAAAGTGGAAGTAGTTTAATTTTCTTTTCCCTCTGTAGGAACTGGTCTCGTCTTGTTTGCGAGCCAGCATAATTATAGCCTTAAGGACATGCCTTGATACTGAAGCATTTAGCAAAATTAGTTCCGTCCTTATGCAATAGAGATGCTGTTAGTGCTGGATTTTAAAAGTTCAGTTTTCTGTGACTAGACGTACCATTTACTTCAGTTTAACAACAAAAACTAACCCAAAACAATAGTTGGTACTGTAAAATTACCGCATAAAAGGACCGAGGACAAACCTCACCTGAAGAGGGAAACCAGCTACCGCTAGATCCGAGCTAAGGTGGAAGTTGGCTAAACACAAAGCTAAATGCAGAGCTATGAATGTCAGCACTGCCCACAAACTGGACAGAAAGGAGGCAAAGAAGGGTTTCCAAAGAACTCAGGCTTTTCCAGATTATGGGTTTTCACAGGGAAAGGGAAGTCAGGCCTGCGTAATACTTGAGCAATGCAGGCTACTTGGGAAAACATTGCACAAGTATAGTTAATGAGCCTTGTAAACGGAGCTTGGCAGATACTACGACAGCCCAGTTAACGTTCTCAACCTTGCCTGCCCTTCAAGGCCAACGGGATAAATATTCTAAATACATAAAACTTTGCTGCTGAAGAAAGCAGGTATAATTCAACAGTGAGGAGATCTGCAGATGAAGATGCTAGTTTTCCATGCTCATGGGAACGAAGTTTTTTTTAAACTTAACTGTAATCAATTCTAGGCATTTTAATTAGCACAGTTCTGTTCAGAAACAGATAGCTACGCACTGCGTCCTTTTAAGCATCATTTAGCATTCGGTAAGTTATGACAAAAACGTTCAAGTTTCCTGTCCAAATTAATCTCTCATTCAGAAGTGATTTTCATGAGTGTTCAGAACCGAAACATCCTTCTGCAGTCAATGAGAACTGCTTGGAAGACCTCAAACCTAGGCTGCATTAAGGCATCTGCAGTTGAAACTACCACGTGCATTGCATCCCAGTTCCACAAAAAGCACAACACAAAGAAACATCATGATTTACTGTTAGATTTCCAGGAGCAAGCCTGCCAGGTTTAAGCTGGAGTCTGAGCAGGGAAGAATTCGGAAAGGTGAAGAGCAGGTAATAAAACTCTCCAGGGACAAAAAGTGAACAGGAGGCACCAGAAGGAAGCTACAACATAGAGTATAATAGTCTGAGCAAGCCAGCTTTGGTACAGCCTTGTTGAGATTAAATTTTAAACAAGTCAGTGTTAAGAACCTGATTTGTGGTAGCCTCTCTAGCTTTAGCACGGGATGGAGGAGACAGAAGCAGCAGTCTCCAGTCTCTAAGAACCAGGCAGAATAGCAGCCGCTGCCCTGCAAACTGCTCACCAAAGAAAAGGCAAGAAGCCAAAGCAACAGCTCTGTTTACCTCTGTTTAGGTTCAGAGAGATGGGTATGTCAAGCTTCTTGAAAAGGCCAAAGCTTTTTCTTCTTCTGCAGAGAACACGTGCTGCTCTGAGCACCAGCTGATGTCTAAATTTCACAGCACTGGTCTAAATAAGCACTCTGTTTGGCTCCCATTAAAAGGGCAAACTATTTCCATGAATGCATTTTACAGTAAAATTTTCCTCCCTTGGGCAGAAATCTTAATTTTATTCTAATAAACAGAAGAAATCAAGCTATTTAAAAATATCTCCAGAATACATGCAACAATAAAGAACCATAACAGCTAGTATTTCTGATTTAAAAAAAAAAAAAACCCAACCCAAAATTCCCTTCAGCTTCGACTTACCTTAATGTCTCTGTGCATTTTTCCTTTACTGTGAAGATAATATAGTCCCTGCAGGAAATAGTTAGGTAATAATTTAGTCCCGTATTTTTCATTTTATAGACATTTCTTATTAAATTAACAAGCAGATTTGGGATCCAGTTCAGTCATCCGAAAGACTCTGTGATTGAAGTACACTCTTATTTTTCAGTTTTATCACATTTGCAAACCTGGTCTTCCTAGTAGCATAATATCTAAATATGGATAGAAGGAAACAATAGTAGTCACTAGTTGTAGGAAAACTCAACTTGAGAATGCTTTTCTTTTGCACATGCTCAGTGTCACCTTTTTAGACCACATTAGTTCCTTTTCAATTGCCCGTCACCATACTATTCAACAGTCTGATCACAAAATACCTAGTGCAGAGACGTTCTCCCACCTCATTACAGGTTTCAATTAACTCTAGAAGCATACTAGCAGATAGTGCCTTGGGGCTAGCACAGGAGTTCAGCTCTAATTCATGAATTTCTGCAGGAAGTATTAGATTGCCTTTCTGGGTCTTGATGATGGCACTAAAGGATTTGAGGACTCAGGGCCTCAACCCACGTTAGACACTTTAAAGTATCTGGATGAACACAAGGAGATTGAATCCTTGCATGACAAATCACAGAGCACGTCACTTCTGGCATTCCAGGCTTATCTCTGAAACCTTCTTCCACAGGGCAAACTGCAGGTAAATCTCTCTGCCGCTCTGAGGTCATGAACCTCCATAATGACTATGTTTTACTGGCGATGCTAACGTCACAACGGACTTTTCTGCCAGCTTGTGCAAGACATCACAGAGCCGACTCCAAAAAGAAATTAGGATTCTTATCAATGACTGGCATGTTCATGAATAGTCCAAAACAGACTGACAGAAAAAAAGGGGAAAATGCTTACTTACATGACTGGGTACTTCACATTTTCAAGTGAATAGCATTGCACAGATAGACAACAGTACTACTGATGATATAATTTAGAGGTATCTTTTCTTTGTCAGCTCATGAAAACCTGAATGTGATGTAGCTGAAGTCCTAATCAGTTAGGAAATCCAACTCCTTAAACAAACTACAAAAGTAAAACAAAACAAAACAAAACAAACCCTGCCCGCTGATGTTTTAACCTGGGTTCTTCAGGGGAATGACAAAAGATATCCAGCTGGATCAATGATTTTTTGAGATCCTCGGGGCAGGTGTGCAGGCAGTCCCAGAACAGAACCCATTTTGATTTGCTTTTCGTACAGCGGTGTAATTAATCAAAGCATCTAACTGATCATTGCCACAAATGGCATTAGCTGGCAAAGTCCTATTTATACTGCTCATGCTTAAATCTCTCGATGTCACTGGCACAAGCATCCCAACAACTCACCCAGTTTTACCCACTGTCTTGTAAGAATGCGAGGCCATCATTTTCAGAACTAAATGCCTGGAGGCAAGTATTTTAAAGTCCATATTTAAAAGACTACCCTTTCACAATCAGTCTCACTGATTCCAACCAGAACTGATAGCGAGCATTTTTTGAAATCAGACCACACAACAGGCTTGTAAATATGAACATCAAAAGCTAATTTTAGGCATTCAAGGGAAATTCTGGATTCATAAACAAAACAAACAAAACACCCCCCCACACACTGGACCAATGACTTACAGACTCACAGAAGGACTATATTCTCAGATTTTTGACCAAGAAAAGTGACTGCTGGATTATAAACTACACCAAGATGTCAGAAACTCAGGGTGCAGTAAGCACACAGTGCTTGGCTTGGTCAGCATGCGGTAAGCACACAGCTACAGATAACTTTAGAATAGACAAAAATGGGTACTAGCATAACACTTAGAAGATGCATACAAAGTGGCAAACTTCCTGCTCATAAGCAATTTACACAAATTGACCAAAAATTCACCCCAAACAATAAATAGCGATTTCACAAATTCTATTTTATATGAGAAACACTTCTCAGAGTTTGGAGAAAAGGGATTAAAGCTTCGAAAACCAAATGAAGAACACTCCCACATGCTACATAAGTCAAGCAAGAGACTTCATGGTAAGGACAGAAAAAAACCAAAAAACAAAAAGCAATAAAAAAAAAAAGCGGTGTCCTGTGAGTCAGAAGTCACCTCTGGCACGCTGTTGGCAAACCGCAAATGGGATGCAGCAGAGTTGGCTCAGAGACAGACAGAGATATCTTAAGAGAGCGTTTGTAAAAGGCAGCAGCTTTCTGCTGCCAAGAGTCAAGAGATTCACATTCAGCAGAAGCAGAGAACTGCGCTCTCACACGGAAGCAAGACGCCCTTCCAAAAAAGCTGTCTGATGAAGTTTTACTGATGAGCTTAATTTGGGAAAGAAAGATAAAACCTGGCATACCCATGATGAAAAGGGCGATTGCCTTAATTTGCACATCTCAAGTACCCAGGCAATTTTTTTTTCCCCTTATTGGCACAGACCAACAATCAGATATGCAAAACCAAATCTTTACTCTTTCCTTCAAACATGCAATAACTAACTTGTATCGCAAACACAGAGAAATAAACATGCTGCTTCCCCCCCCCCCTTTTTCTTTTTTTTTTCTTTTTCTTTTTTTTTTTTAAGAGGCAGGAAGAAAAAAAAGGCAACAGAAAGAAGATTGCAGCTTTCGTCTAAATGATCCAGGATAATTTGGGGTTTTGCAGATTATACAAACCAGTTCTAGGCTATAATACAGCACTGCCTCCAAAGTCAGAGGAAAATGGCAAGTCATCTACACACTGCATTTCCATGGCATCGCGCAGAGATGTTTAGCTTTTATCTTTTTGGCTTCTAACACTTTTACATTAAAAAAAAAAAAAAACAACTGTGCACAAATTATAACACAAGAACCTTGGGACATACTACCTGTAGTGTTTCTCTGCTAACATAGGCAATCTGCTGTTCTGAAAGTGGTCCAGTCACTGAAATGGAAGAAAAGAAAAAAGTTTTTCTTTCTCAAAATTTGGAGAGACAGTGTCGTACCAAGCCTGTGCCTCGGTTACTTCCCATTCACACTGAGAGGTTTTGACATCAGAAGGGTTTCAAAGCGAATGTGCCTAGACTTTCCCCAGATGGAGGAAAGCACCATGCACCTTTCCAAACTCTCCCTCCGAGCCACCTAGGAGCTTCCCGAGGTAAGGAAGAGCCTTCCTCTCCCTCCAGGTTCCCATTTTACTCAAGCCTCTTAAAGAAAGAGGATTTAATTGTAAAGAAAAGCATAAACCAAACACCGAAACACAAACAAGGACTGGGCTATGACCTGCTCCCAGTCACGGGACTTTAATCCTGAAATTAAAAGATTTTAAGAATAGGAAATGCTGTCCTCACTGCAAGCTTCTCAGGTTTTGGAGAAAAAACAAAGGAAACAAATGTTGGCAGGGGTTTCTCAAAGGAAACTGAAGGAGTAGGGAGTTAAAAATTAAACAAGGATTAAGCACCTAACCGCTTAGCTTCTTCAAAAGTATAACCATACAAGAAGTGAGCTTCATGCAATATACATCTTTAAAACAGATCTAGAGTCATCTGTCCTTTTCTGAAAGAAAAGCTCCAAAACCACATAAAACTAAATATAATAGCACCCAGAGTACGTATTGGTAGGTAAGTATGTTTACTTTGAGCAATTTAATTCTGACAAACTTAAATGTCAATTTACCTAAGATTTAATTGTTGAGGCCTATGGTCTAATTGGAATAAGGCACTTCAGAGTGAAAGGCCCCTTTCTGGTCTTAATTCCTTTCCAATTAGTCACAGAGAAGCCAAAAGCCAGTTCCAACAGGAAGCCATTCCTGCACGACATTTGTTCGGGCATTTGTGTGACATGAGCTCACTTCCTGCTCTACAGGTGCCCCACATAAAACCTATTAGACACGATGCTCTTATCAACATTGACTGAGATGTAAGGGATTGACAAGGCTCTGCTCAAATGACTAAGCCATTAAAATAGCCCAAATTCGTAAACTGGTGCCTCGCTTTAACGGCATCGGAGATAAACATAAAAATGTATACAAGCTGTTTATACACAAGATAAGGATGCGAAGATACGAATGCAGAACGTCTTTGCAATTTGCAGTTTGGACCTGCTTCCTACCTGAAAAATACCACCTCAGAACCACTACTTGCTTATGGTATTTTCTCTTTCCTACGCATGCCCTACTGCCAGGGCGTTATAACCCCCTTAAAACTGATTTTGCCTCTTGAAAACCGGCAATCAATTGACTGACCCTCTCTTTACGCAATAGATTTACACCCCTCCCCTTGTTTTTTGACCACTTGTTGCACATAAGCCTAAAGCAAATATATAGGTCACCTTTGCTTTTCACATGCGTTGCATCTGGCAAAAAAAAAAAAAAAAAAAAAAGAGGCCCTCTTGGCCCTACTGCAACACAAATATACACAAAGTCACTGTTTGCAAAGCACAGGAGCACCCATGCTAATCAATCCATTTATCTAAGTATCTGTCTGTATGCAGTGGTATAGATTATATTAAGAGAAAGGTCGAAAGCTCAGAAACAAAATGGCTATGAAGTAAAACTGCACAAGTTTTTTTTGTTTTGTTTTCAAATATAATGCAACTTTGTTTAATTGTACACAGTTTTTAAAAGTAGTGGTCAGCATACGAAGTGCTGAAGGAAGGAAATAATTTATGTTCTTTAAAAAACAAACAAACCAACCACACCCCCAAACTATGGTTAATTTCCTTTTGAACAAAAAGTCATGTAAATATAGAAATAAGCTACAGTTGACCTTCAATGGATTATTATGTATTCTAAGTTTAAGAGTCATCCTCTTCCATTCCAAAAGACTGTAATCATCTCCATTTCTGAAAGCTTTTACTTAGCTTTTTACAGAAGTATAGTTTTGACATACCATGATAAATGTCCTGTAGAGAGCCACCTCCACAAAACTCCATGCAAATCCATAGCTTGTCTCGTCTATAAAGGGAATAGACCATTCGTTAGCTGTCACACTTGAAAACAGCACCTCTGAAAGGTAAGTCTGAGGACTCAACCATCATGCAGCACAATACAACAAGCTCTGTAATATGAAAAAAACCAATCATATCAATGAACATGATTTAATCTTTATGGGATAATGCACTGTCAAAATAACAACTAATGAAATATCCAAAAATTATTCTAGTGTTTATAGGAGTAATGTGAACTGTATTAGTGGAATGTGTGCACACTAAATTTTGTGAAGACCAAAATGAAACACACGTCTACTGATAGCAGAGAGAATACAGATATTGGGTTCTCATTTCTTCCTCATTTTCACTTCTCCTCCACTTTTTTTAGAGCAGAGGCGGTAACACACAAAAAACCCAAAACAAACAGCCCCCCAACACAAAAAGCCCTAGCGATATCTCTCAACTCAATTCCTTCCACAACAAACGGAGCAAAGCTCTAGTCCACTTGTCAAAGCTAGGCACAGCGCAGTCCGTGCTACGGACAAGTGCCTGCCGAGATTACGTCTTTTCCCTCAAGAAGATCCACAGATATTTTTAGTAGTGGGGGAAGAGGGAAGCTCTTTCGACGCCTCTCTCCAAGGGAACTGATTCAGCCTGACTCACTGCACTCTCAGTAAAAGGTGATCTCCAGTTTAAGAACAGATAATCAGGCTGAAGGCCTCAAAGGAACAGTACAGTACAAAAGGCATAGTTACGGTTTCCGTCTTCTGTTTGCCCTCAGTAATAGGGCAGAAGTACCGAGCATGGCTGCAGAGAGGCTTTTTGGAGAGGAGAAAATCTGAGACGTGCCTGGTCATTCCTGGCAGTGGAAAGGAGCAGGAGAAAGAGCAATCGCATACAACCGCCTCCGGGTGGGCTGGGGCACAGGACAACCAAGGGAAAGACTGATGACTACTCCACAGCTTGCCCATGACCCCCGGTTCCGGGTTGCCTGCACTCAGGTTTTGTTACAACAGCAGAGAAACTGCTTTGGGAAATACCAATGTTCCTGGCAGTGTTCTGCAAGGCAACGGTGTAAATGCTGAGCTTATCCTCTGGGCTGGCACTTGCTAACATTTCTCACCAGCGGGTAACACTTAAGAAAGCTGCTGTTCCAAGACAGAACCGTCTTTCTTGGAAGTCTCTCCATGTCCCTCCTCCCTACCCTCCTCAAAGCAAAGCCCTGGTTGCTTCCTCCAGTGGTGGGAAAGATACTGTCGAGGCATTTCAGAGATTTTAGGCAACAGAAGTCACTCGCTCTTACTCCATACCTTTTGTAGGAGCTAAGAAAAGCACTGCTACTTTGACATAACATGAAAACTTTTCACTGAAATAAGGGACCAAAATCTGAAACTGAAACAGTCTCAGGTACCCGTGGAAGACATCAGAATTAGCAATGGCAGCAGGGGAGCACGAGTGAGAAAGGAGCACTGAAGACAGAGACACTCGCAAATCTCCTGTTCATTCCCCACAGAAGTACAGGACTGGGACAGGGACGCTTTTGGGGGCACTGGGCTCACAAAAGCCGCTCTTTCCCATGTGGCTGCATCCTGTTTTGATGCCAACAGCAAAAGCAGCATGGAAATGGGAAAAAGCTAGCACGACCCCCGCAGCCTCAGGAGAGCGTCGAGGAAGCTACCTTGCAACAAGAGCGCCCGCTCAGGAGGGAGCACCAAGGAGATGGGCCCAGTACGTTCGCACTCTCGCTTACTGCACGCTAACTTCCCACCACGGCCAAGCCCTACAGAAAAGGAAAACGTAAGAGGACCAGAAAAGGAGACTGCATTTCTAATTCACTATCTTGCCTTCTATTAACCTGCCACCTGAATCCGAAGCGCTTTGAGGCAGGTGAAGATCCGTGCCACGACAGTAACAAGGTACCCAGCCGCCTGCCTTTGCGGAGCATATGGCAAGCACAGCAAACGCAACGGAGACAGGATCAACAGTACCACTTAGTGTCTGCAACCTAACGCCTCCGTTCACAGCAAGGCAGAAATTGGACTCTCGGGAAAATCTGTATGTAAACAGAAGAAAAACATGGGGAACAGCATGCAAAGCAGCACCAAGTGTAGGATGATGATATTTTTCTTATCGTTCCTAGTATTTATTGAAAGATGCTGGCAAAACAAAAGGTCAGGCAATGAGCAGTCCCTTAAACACAGTTATTCATTATCCAGGAAAAAGAGAGCGGTATAGCATCTGTCAAAGAAAGGGGAGGGCACCGAGCAAGAATAAAGAAGAGCAGGTGCCTTAGTGTACGCGCTAAAATTAAATTCAGGGTCTACAAGGGTATATCTTGATGCCCTGAGCCTGGAGGAAAACACATCACAGCCCAAGAACAGTGTCATGAGGAGAGGCATCATTTCAACCTGAAAACTTGCATTAGAGCAGAAGGCAACGATGACATCTCTTCACCGACTATTCTCACACAAACTCATAAAAATTATCAGAAACAACTTTTTATTAGATATTCTAAACAATTCTCTCCCACTCTGACCGATAAGAAAAAACAGCCAATAAGACAACTGGATACTTTTGTCAATACTTCTACAAAACAAATAATCTTTCCTGCAAAAACAAACAGAAAAGGAACAGTCACATTCTGGTCAGAAGTTCACGTGTTAGAAAAACAACTTAAGATAACTCCAACAGCATAACGGAGCTCCAGCCCTCCTTTCTTGTATGCCTCAAGTACCTCTTCTTTGTAAAACTACCTTCTTAAGAGGTTTGTAACAGTGACTTTCAGGTTTGCTGAGCATGCAAGCTTAATGTCACGTATCAGAAAAAAATGTCAACACAGCTTCCTTGCCAGGACTGTAGAAAGGTAAGAACAGCGAACTTCACCACCTGACAAGCTGTGAGCGGCTGTCAAACAGACTAGTAAGTCCATAAATTCAGACACCCCCTCCCCCCCCCAAAAAAAAAAGATCTTTCACCTGACTTGATCGCTCACGTGCGAGACAAAGCCTGCCAATACTGAAAAGAACACAAGTAATTCACAGTTTAGGTTAACCTTAAAACTACCCTAAATATTGAAAACTGAAGTGCGGACGCTCCCAGCAGTTTGCAAGTACCAAGAAGGTTTGCAGCACCAAGCCCCTACATGTACATACACTCTAGCTGTGCGCGCAGCCGCGCAAACCTGCACGTAACGCAGCTTGCACATCAGCTCTGCGCTGAAGAAAGCATTAAGGCTGCCAAGACAAGCACCCTTCAAGCTCGGGAACGCCAGAACAGCCTGCCTTATTCATTTGATAACCACACTGCCCTCTTTGTGCGTGCATACACATGACGACACACGCAGGACACAATCCCATACTCTTGGCCGCATGACTCCCTGCTTTGCTCGGCGCCGAGCGCAGATGGTGTTCATCTAAGGAGGTACGCCACAGTTCGCTCTCCTCTTCAATCTTGTTCTGAAAGTTAATGCCCTCTTGGAAACTTCCTTCATGCTCCCCACTGAACTAGGTCGGTGAAGTACTAGTATGACCAGGTTTTCCACTACACCCCTTTGAAACAACTATAAAAATGGAGATAATTTAAAACACAGATCCTACTGGCTTGAATCATACCTGTAAGCGTGCAACACTTGCTTTCAGCAGGCAACGGCTAACAAGGCACTCGGACCGAGAGACGCAACGAATCCCCACGGGTGAGAAAATATGCTTCTGGTGAGTGGCCAGGGCCACTCAGGCCTCTGAATACAAGAGGCAGGGGGAAACCATCAAACTCTTCGGGACACCACTACTCTGCCTTCAGCACGAGACCTCCCCTCCTCCTTCACACTCCTTGCCAGGACTCCAAGCTCTGGTACGCTCGCAACGCGGCCAATTTCCATTTGCTCCAACTGCACAGATATTCAGCGTCAAGGTAACTGAGAGCACAGGAAAGCGCTCCACCTTCTCCATTTCAGCATCGTGTCCCGGTTCCCTCCCGAACGAAACAAGGAGCCGCTTAACGTCAGCTGAGCAAACTGGGGGAGCGCACGCTCAGCTGCTCTGCAGCACGGCAAACACGCACCAAACCAGGTACTGCTGGCTGTCAGGAAAACCTTAACTCTAATAGATCTTGAACAAAAGTTTAAAAAAAAAAAATGCAGTATTTCAGGAAGTGACTTTGAAAGTATTTTCAAAAGGAAAAGACATATTCCAAATACAAAAGCCACCTCCTGTCAAATATTAAATTCCTGCTTCAAGGATGGTGCACAAAAGCCTTCCAATAAAAAAAGTGACCGAGCTTTTTCATGTGAAAGTATCACCCGTTTCTTCCTAGCCCGAGTCTCCGAAACACCTGAAATATATAGCTGAAAAGCTTTAAGCTACAGCAGATAGCCATCATGGAACATTTCAACTTGAGCTGCTGAAGCCTAGTAAAGGTACGTGTAACTGAACTTGGCATCTTTCCATTAGGGACGGGGTCTCGCAACCTTGACAACATGCAGAGCCATCGTGTCCCACCTATGCTGTCCCCAAGCAGACAGAATATACATAACTATCTGAAATGAATCAAAAGCCTCTGAAACTGCATTAGAATGTATCACAGGTTTACACAGGCTTTTAAAAACCTCTTGTGAGATGACTAAAATTATGACAGTATTAGGTTCACAAAGTCCATCAATAAAAAAGGTGCAGTCCTTACTACCAAACAGTTGATATATCTCGCATAAAACACGTATCAGGCTGTATTAAAAAGAATTATAATATCAAATGTCATTAAGACTTTGTCATCAATTTTCTAACTACAGAGACTTGGTAGGGAGCTTACTGCAGTTGCGTGGAGTTTATTGCAATTACGACAAGCAAGCATAACATCTTACAAAAGGGGCTATGAAAAATTAAAAAAGACAAAACAATCGAGATGTACGTTATTAGATATACTAAAGAACTACGCAGCTCAAGAGAGAAAAGCAAAGATTAAAGAACCAAAGACTTTTCTTAGATTTCAAGGCAAATTCAAAACACAATCACCAATGGGATTTTTAAAGGCTGCATAGTTTCCACTTTTGTGTGTTTCAATACGGAATTGTCTTTAAGACTTAAGGTAGCACTACTAAGCAAGGAGAGAGAGAGAGAGAGAGAGAGAGAGAGAGGAGAGAAAAAGAAAAGGAAAAAAGTGGAAAAAAAAAGCAAGCCCCAAACTTTTCTTCTCATAGACACTTTTATATGCCAACACCAGGAAAGTCAGAATATTCCTGAGAACTCTATTATGCAATGTGATTAAAAAATAAATATACACTTTTTTTTTTTTTTAAAAGTTTTGCATTTTAAGAGACTTTTCACTTAAAGAGATTTAAGAGATACTACAGACACCTACTATTTCTTTACACTTTTCACACTTCTGCTTAATTCTTCCATTTACATATTAAATTCAAAGCATTTCAATGATAACTCATTTCCACGGGAATGTGACTACTTTGTCACAGAAGGATTTTATCAAAAGAAACACACTTATTTATAGAGGGACACTTCAGTGAACAGAACAGATTTTAAGGTAAATGAAAAATATACAAGTGGATAATACAGATTTGGTAAAGTATGTTTTGCCTAAGCCTCCTTATGGACCTGCCCTTCCCAAGGAGTTATAGCGGCATTTTTTTTTTTTTTTTTTTTTTAAGAGCAAAAGAAACAAACCGTACCTGAGATAGCTGCCAAAATAAGCAACGATGTTTGGATGTTTACAGTCTTTCATCATAATGATTTCCTGCTGCACAACAGCAAAATCTTCTCCTGAAAAGTAGAAGAATAAATATTTTCACCAGCCTGCTCCATACCCGCCTCTCAACTAGACTTTCAGCACATGTTTTTAAAATAAACACTTGAATAATCAAAACTAATTATCTGCCAGTTCCACATATGTATAAATATAAGGCAGCTATAAATTAAGATTCATCAGCAAAGTTTTAGCAGTAAGAAACTGAACTCTTCAGATAATGAGGTCTCATTCCAGGCCAGATGGACTTCACATCTGCTATCTGATATCTCTTATGACATCGGCCATAGCTCTTTTTAAACTTTGTATTTTCCTCGAGACCCCACTGCGTCCATCTGCACATACCCTGTCATTAACCTAGGTTCTTAAAAACATGACAAACCTTGCTATTTTTGCCCATGTATCCAACTCATATCACATTCCTGAACAAAAAACATTCAACAGTACACTACTGCAACTTCGCAGTATACTCAGTGAGCACATTTTACGGACTGTGCATAACTTCTGTCCAGATAAAACACTGGCATAGTTTTGGCATTTACTTAAGCCTTACTATTTCATGCTTAGGTTGCACCTGTCCTTCTATAGAAAGTTCTTACCAGATGCATACATTATGAAAAACAAGTGCAAAGAACAAAACCCGAGATGCTTGCAAGAGAAGTTTTTGCTTTTGGGATATGTGCAGGTAAGGTAGGGATGTTTCGTAGGTAAGCTGGAGAGAGAGAAGGTAAAAAGATATCAAGATGTAAGAGAAGATTGATAACAGAGCTTCTGCCCCCCCCGCCCCAAAATACATATCAAATGTTATTTTGCATCTCATGCTGGGGCTCCTCTGAAATGTCTTAAGTCATCAGGGGAAACCATAGCCATTTTGCACTTGTTACTAATATTTTAATAGTAGTTCACTGGAGGTTTGTTTAGCTCCTAGACAAACACAGTTGAAAAAAAAAAAAAAAACCTCATCCTTATTAAATTTAAGGACTTCATAGGTAAAATAAGCATGAAGGTCTAAAAGAACAAAGAAACTAACTTCCTGAATAACTTATAAGAGACTCTTTAAGCAAACTGAAAAAAAAACAGGAAAATTCAAAGTCATCCTCTCATGATGAGCTATGTCAAAATTCTCCTTTTAGTGTAGTCATAGCACACTTTAGCATAACTTGAGAGCTTTCAAACCAGAGGCCAAAGCTATCGTCCAAAATCTCTGCATAGACAGCAAGCTTACGTGTATCAGTTACACAGCGGTTAATAAATTCCAAATGTAACACAAAATAACACTCCAGGAGAACTGGCCAAATTATTATTTAAGCAAATATTAGTTGTAAGTCTTTACCAAGACATTACCAAATTCTTGGTCGTCAATATGTTACCTTTTAACCACAGATCTGATACTCATATGCGTTCTATCTGCTGAAAGCAAATTTCAGACTGCAAGGTAACGTCACAGTCAACTCTTTCCTATTTGTGGTCTGTTGCTGATGGCTTAAAGTGTGCTATTGCTGCTCTTTCCTGGCTAGACCTTTAAACATGTGAATCCCTCCTTCCGAAGGGAGGCACAGCATTGCTGTTCGTTTCAGCCGGTTTAAGGACCCAGCATCACGTTATGCACAGCCAAACATTTCAGTGATGGGAACCTCCATAAAAAGTTAAAACAGAAGAACTAGCCAAGATAACCTGAGACTCCAACTTTCAGTTGGAAGAAAAGATGCATTGTGAACATATACTTTTGGAATTAAAGAGTAAAATATTGTTCTGTTTTGGGAAAAAAAGTTATATATATGCACACACACACGACACATACATTTTTATTCACTTCCGGAAACAAGAGAAAACGGACAAAAGTAGTAACTTCTTTCCTTCTCGGGCTGCCTAGACCTTAAGGATAAAAGCAGGTAGTACTGAAAGCACTTTCCCCCCAACAGTAACCCGGAAATGGAACACCATCAGTGATGAGTTAAACAAAACACACGGACACGTTGCTTCCCAAAGTACAGTACTTGTGTTGAACAAGTCCAATCTGATTAATCAAACAGCACTCACATGCTGATAACTGAACTGTAAGGGAGATGAACTTTGTAAAATTAGAACGTATACGCAGTTCAAGCATAAATCGAGCACGCCCCAAAGTTTTAGCCTGAGTCTCCCAAGGAATTTCAGGAGCGTACGCAATTCCTGGATGCTGTGGTTCATCTATCACTTCACCCGTCCTTCCTGATACTTCTCCAGCCAAGATCTTCTCTGTCTTGCAATCTTCCTCGTTTCTTTTGTTCTAAACAGGGTTTTGTATTACATGGGTTGGAAAGGCAGTACTTAAGACCGAAAAACCCAGGTCAAACTGAAATTTTAAATCAGCTTTCCTTTAACCGTCTTCCAGTTATGTTTTTTTCCTTCTCACATCTTGCTTGTCACCTTTTTTTTTTTTTTTTTAAAAGGAAAGAATTTCTGCAAAATTTCGAGAAAGAAGGCAACAACAATCATCCCTTTTTCAAATAAGTGAACTCGATCGATTTCGTAAAAAATGTATTTTAAGCATGAAAATGTTTAGTTTCAGTAACTTATTATTTCACATGAGAAACACTTACCTGGTTCTAGCTTTATTACTTTAATTGCTGCTAGCTCACCCGTGTTAACATTTCGAGCCTACAAAAAAAAACAAAAAACACACAAGAAACAACTATTTAGAGAGCAGAACACAGCGATCAACTCTGCAATTTCAACTCGAGATTTTCTGACAATGCAGAGTCAAAGGGCAGCTCAGACACACAAGGGTCCAAAACAACGATTTTTTTTTAAAGCAAAAACAGTCTCAGCATGAGCCAATATATTAACATATCTTGTACGTTTATTTCAGGTAAGGTTAGATTTTTCTTCCAGATACACTATGCATTTTTTTAATTGACCTTACAGCATATATTTTCACTAGATAAGCACTGTTACCGAGTTATATTATATCCAAAACACTTGTTTAAAATAATCCATGTCTTTGCTTAATGACAGTAAACCGAACAGTAAGAATTCAGTGGCTAACATGCTTTTCTCCAATGCTCAACGCAAGGTCCTTTTGCCTGCTTTATTATACCCTCTTTTTTTTTTAAAAAAGATTTTAACTACCAAGTAATCTTTAGCCCTAGTCACGCGAGTCGATTGAAAGAAGTCAAGCATAGACATTTCTGGAAGAAAAACACTTTTGTAGAAAGTATTCTTCCAACAAAACTTCTCGAACTGGATTTATTTTCTAATGACAAAGCAAACTATCTCACAAAAATAATGAACAGCTGATTTGTACTGAGATCTTGAACTCTAACCTTTAAGTATGCTCAAGCAACATTGTGCAGGCACACAACAGGCCGGAATTACGCATGTCCTTGATTATGCTACATCTCCATTTTTAAATCCATAAGTAACTGAGCACTGAGATATTGCTTGAAAAGGAATTATAATAAACATGGACCCCAAAGCAGAAAAGCAGGGCCCATGGAGCATCAGGTGCTCTCCCCCGCACAAGAGGTGACTGCTTCTACCAAGAGAGGTGCCTTCTAGTGCAACCAAGAGAACAACACAACGCTTTCTGCTCTTCTTTTACTACCTGCCCCATGATCCTTACTGCCAGCCAGCGAGGGCATCCTCTCCTTCTGTAAGGGTGCTAAGAACACAAGCCAGCAAACGGAGGAGCGAGAAGCAAGCATTAGAACGGCCTTCGCCTCGTATACACAGCAACCTGATCTCAGCAGCACTGTGGCCAGCTTCAGCAGCAATTACTCAACAGCTCAGCTGCATCCAACACAAGGCTCCATCATGCTGAAGCATATGTTTTGCCAAATAAACAAGGAAGCTATGTTTTTACAAAGTCATTAAGAAACAACACAAAATATGACAATAATAATTCATCTTTTAGAACTGTTAGAATACCAAATGGGGGGAGGGGGACATTTCCCCCATATTTGCAGGATACTTCCCCTGCATCCAGCTACAAGGAGAGGGCAGCAAAGCTGCTCCCCAGCTCCAAAGCAGCGGCTCCTGGAGGATGCTTAGCGACTGCCTCTCCTCTCCCCGACGGAGACCCAGTACCCACTGCTGCGCCGCGCTGGACCGCCCCCAAGAGAGGGCACAAAAAGTGAAACTGGCCCTGGTTTTGCTTCCCCTCCCCTCCCCATCCACTTTCAAATGAAAGATCAGATCTGTAGCATTATTGTAAAAGTGAACGATGCAGATGGTTACCCACCTGTCCCACTGCTAATGACCCCATTTTTAAGAGTTGCTTGGGGGCTCAAGAGCTGATGGCCTGGACGATTGGAATGGCCAATGCACATTTTCAAATACTTTTAAAAAAATTATTATTAAAGAAAACTGATCTATAGTACTAACTTTGCAAGGGTGCAGGACTCACCAAATGCTATAAGGTATTGATTTTTAACAGAGCAGCTTGAGAGCTGGCTCAGGAACCAGAAAGGGAAAAAAAGAGCAAGACAGAAACCAAAATGCTATAAAAAATATCCAGTGATGAAGTCCAGGAAGAAGTGCAGTGTGTGTTCCTGTGTTTAGAGCTCTGGATAGGTCCTAGCATAGCCGACATCCAGCCTCTCACTGTTCCTTGGTATGGCAACGCTTTTCAGTAATACTAGGCGTACAGGCATTTGCACGATAATTTCCACAGAGGTGGTTAAGAATAGATCCTAAGACTAGTGGGAACCCTAAAAAGTCAGAGAATAAAGCAGACTTGATAGATTGCAGAAAAAAGACAGTAAAAAAAAAAAAAAAGGGGGTTTCTGGCAAGCTTCCCTGTGAGTCATTATTTGGTTACCCCACTCACAGCAGCGGTGTCTCCAATCCTTACCTTAGGGTGGAACAAAGACGCTGAAGACACAAAGGATAGCAAGAATAAGAGTCCCTTTTATCTGCACCAGAGAACAAGGGCAGCACAAGAGAGAACAAGGCATCACCAAAACGTGAGCAACAGATGTTTATTCCTGATTTTATTTCTTTCCCCAACACATTCTTCTCACAGGGAGAAATAAACATAGAGGCAAGATGTCCATGAATCAAAGGACAGTACTTTTTCAACTGCCAAGATTAACATTAAAGATTACTTAAGCTTTGACAAAAAGACTGTCAGGGAGCCTTGTTACCGCTAGTAGACCTGCTTCGGGGCAATATGCACCAGCAGGATAATCAAGGAGACATAACTGCAGCAGATACAAGTGATGAGATCCTAAAGCTACGCACCCTACATTCAGTTGGGATGTGCAAGACTAAAACTGGAAGGCCATCAAATTTCAGAGGCTTCAGGGATATTGCTCATCCAACAGGAAAAATAAGATATTTGGTAAAAAATTTTTTACAATACGGTGTTCGGCTCCCAGGAATGTCTCTCCCTAGCTATGGCTTCACAGGTGCTTGTGACCGCTAAAGCCAGATAGAAGGTGGGCAGGCAGCTGATAAGAATTTCAGAACAAAGCTGCTCAAAATACATGACGATACTTGTCACAAAGTCTTACGTAGCGGCGATGTCAGAAAACCATCCGTAGTAGACAGACGTATCTATAGAGACATCTATAGGAGGACATGCAAAATCCCAGCCAAAAGACTAGATTTTGAGTGGCAGGCGGCTTTGCCGAAACTATCCTGTCCACGTTCCACCCCCTTTCACCATAAAGGGGCTTCTTTTGAGAACAAGACACTGAAGAACTGTTCGAAACTGTGGGCAGGAAAGAACAAATGCTGTGTCTTTTCATTTTCAACTTAGATATTTATTTCTTTCCTCAACACCAGCAGTAACGTGACTCTTTGGCCAGCCAGTTGTACTTCGGACCAAAGTTCTCCTGCGTTCCTGAAAATCAGAAAGAAGGATCACAAAACCTGATTTAACTCAGGTTACCAATGCCTTCAGGAAAAGCAGGCTGCCAGTTCTTATGGGCATGAATTATTACTTAAGAAAATACGACTTGAAGTCGACAGTCTGAATAAATTACCAGTTTGTATCATACTCCATCTGAATTATCAGCATTGAAGGTGTTGTCACAAGTAAGAATGTGAATTGCCTTTGTTAATCTGGGTATAAAAGAGACATTGTCCTGATTGTAGTGACACAAGGGCTCCTTGCAAAGGCTGAAGATGAAGTACCTCTGACAGTTATCATTAGGTCTCATCAAATACCCTTAAAAATCACTGGTTGTAAAACGATTCCTTACCTGAGCTCATACAAACGACAGATCAAGGAGCGCTGGGCAGTTCAAGCTTTCTCAACACATGCTGAAAGTGGTAGCTGGCTTTGACTCTTACTTTGAGGGTACTTGTATACCGACCCTATGAGTAGGGTGAGGACACTGCCATATGCTTTCAATCAGTCTAATTGGGGTAGGTTTGCCGATTGCTTGACATTTTTGAGACTAGAGGATAAATTTGGGGTAGATGGCTGAAGAACCATTTCAAAAATATATTTCAGGGCTGGAAATCACAACCAAAAATTTTGGAGAGGCTCACACTCTTCTCTGTAAGGAAATATACATTCATTTTTGGCTTCTACTTGCACCCTAAGTGCTCTAATTCCTAGCCCTTTTGATGATCAGGCAAGAGCAAAAGCCAAGGACTGTTACTCTCATCCCTGTTTCTAAGAGCAGGAGCCTGCAACTAACTCCTACAAACACAGATTTCACAAATACTACCCCTGCTTTGCCATCATTACTGCAGTGTGACCCAAACATCATCTATCTAGAAATCAAAACCGTCGTACAACTCACCTGCCCATTCAACGAGGGAATTATGTCAATGTCAACGCATTACGCAGGTTTTCCAGAAGTGAGGATACTGCGGGTTTGCCCACAATGTCTGCATCAAGATGCAGTTACGGCATTAAACGCGTATAGTATTTGTGTATAGCATTTATACGATGTCTGCTCTGGAAAACTAAAAAGATGTACATGCTACCACTGGCTAAAAGAGCGACACGCTTCTGAAGGTCTAGACTACCGTGTCTTTGGTTTTTTTTGGAGGGTGGGGGGGGGGGGAAGGAACCAACCACCTTTTAGTCAAGCTGGGTAAGCACTACCTAATTAAACAGGAAATAATGGAAACAGTTACTAGCGTCTCTGCGACAACAGTAGGATGTCAGATCAAAACACTAAATAAAAACAGGCACCTATCAGAAATAAAAACTAAAAGTCTATTTTTTACTGTTACTGCATTATATAAAAATTCTTTAACCAAAACGCCTCACAACTGGAAAGACCTTTCTACTCTGAAACCGAGAACGACAAAGCAATGCAATACGGCAGTGCCCGGCTAGGATCTATTCAGGAAACACCAAGAGAGCAAAAGATGTGCGACATGCCTGAAAAGAAAAGAAAGAGAAAAGGAAGAGAAAAGTTATTATTTAGTACTACACCTAGTATACGCCACAACATTAAATTTAAAAAAAAAAAAAGGAGAGAGAGGTTCATGCAGTTGGACTAGTATAGATATAAAATCCAAGGTCCATGAGCTAAATCTCTGGCCAAGATTACATTTGTCCTTCACATGGAAGTTGGCAATATAACATCCCTAACGCTGCAACAAAAACTAGGCCAAAAAGCAACATCTAAAACGGTAACAACAGGCTGCATCTGACTACTTTAAGCGAGAATTGTCAAACAGAATTTAGACAAGCAATTACAGAGCAAGTTACTGCTTCATGGGATAGCTCACTCCATAGCACAAAAAGAGAAAAACTTCCTGATTGAGATTAGTTCAGCTCTTCAGGAAAACAGTTAGGTCTTGGGGGGTTTTTTTGGTTAGTTCTCTGCCCTGGCTCCAGAGTTAACACAGGGTAAGCTGTGCGAGCGTACAGCCAGGAATCAGGTTGGGAATCTCCCCTCTAGGGCAACCGTGAGCTGTTACATCAGTTTGCCCCATCTCACAGGATCACTGTTGCGATTAACAGGAGTCGAACCGCTCAGAGTTACAATAAAAATTATGAGGTTCCACATTCTAGTAGGAGGTATGATTACCAAAATCTGGTAGAACCACAATTTTAGAAAGGAACGCTTTGATGAAAGGGATGTTGTTAAACATAAAGATCCTAAATTAAGACAAAGAAATTCCCCAAGCACGGCATAGAGTCTTCTTTAGGAAACCACAGTCACAGACAGCAAAGCGGATACCACCCAATGCAGTAAAAACAGGATGGCAAAACATCCACCTGTCCGGCTGATCGGCAAGCTTCAAAAGACTATTAAAGCTGAAACAGAGATCCTTCTGAACAGTCATTTATTCTTAGTGAAGTCAATAGGAACTTGAACAGTAATAAGATATATCAAGAAAACAAGACTGAAATTGATATCAAAAAGCATACAACTAAAAGGCATTTAAAAAAAAAAAAACACACCTCGGGACATAGTTTAAGTATTTGAGAAGCAGAGAACCCATAAAATAATTGATGGCTTACTGGATCACCGTGGGAAAGAAAAGCAAGGAAAGGAAATGAGTTAATGGCACTCACGAGGAGAAGTGTGTGTGTGTCACTCTGCAAAATGGAAGGTTCTCCAAGCTAATCTGGTCTGGGCATGCTCTCTTCTAGCTATACATAGGAGTAATACCAGAAACCACAGAAAAGGTTCTGAACAAAGCTGATAGTAAAAGGGAGCAGGAGTCATGAGCTGCTCCTTAGAGATACCCAAAGACTCTGAAAGGACTTCAGAGGGAAACAACCGAGTTGGTAAGATGACTTCCCTCACTAAAAGACAGCTCCTATTCCAAATGACTGGACAACTGAAAAAAATATATGTATTTCCCCCCCCCCCCCCCTTTTTTTTTTTTTTTTAAATGAGACCCAAGCAAAGAGCATCCTACAAAGTTCTAGATCTTCATCTGTTAACTGGTTGAAACTATAACGGAAGAACCAAAATACAACAGACATGATATTGTCGATACCCTGGCAGAGGAACAGTGATCTCACTAACTATCACAACTACTTGAATTTCAGTAAAGTGGGAAGTAAAGGAAGGTTTTCTTCTTTTTGTAACAAGTTTAAGATCTTCGGAAGGATCCGACCACACTAGATGAATGACCTGTAAGATGTCAACTGGAGCTCAGAGTTCATTAACCCAAAACAACGCTTATTTTTTAAGATATGCTGTGATGTAAGCTAACGGTATCAAAAAAGGAAATGGATCTACAACTGCCTCAGAACACGCTTCAAATCTACGTGCAGCTACCAGCAAACCCAAAGGTATTACGATGTACAGAACTGGACGGTGAATATGCAAGTTATAGCGCTGTTACGCAAATGATTAGTGCAGTCTCCCTAAGAATATTGTGTGCAGTACTTGTAACCCAGCCCCAAAAAGGACTGCATGAATGACAAAGGCCTTGGGAACAGGAACGATCACAATGGCAAGTTCATGCGAGGAGACAGAAAAGTCTTTCTACATTAGAGATGAAATGCAGAGCAAAAAGAATAAAGCAACCACTTTGTTGAACTCTAGAAATATTTCTTGAAACTCAGCAGGACAAAATAGTGTATCTTTTCCACAACAGAACATAACTCCTCTTTCACACTTTGCTCACCGTCCTACACAATGCAATTCTTCCTACCAGCGAACTACAGAAACACAGAAGGCAGCAATAACTCGTATGACAGCAGAACTAGTTTTCACCCTTGCTAGCAGGTGTCATTTTGGATGAGAAAATTTGATAAAAACCAAGAGTTTTGATAAAATCCAAGAATTGCCCTGACATGTAACTGCAATCAAAAAAAATCTAAGCTAGACTTTATATTGAAGTTAAGTTACTTGAGCAGTAAAATTTATTCAGATACAGAAAACCAAAAACCATACAAACGAAAACATGAGATGCAAAACTGAAGAACAGCTCAACTCCAGAAAAATCACTATTAGCAAACTGCCTCTCTGTGTTTTGTTACAGAAACATCAACTGTCTTACAAAGCAGTAATTTGATTTCATCGTTAACTCCTTTTAGCAGCCTTGAGAGGGGACATCTCCGGACAAGGGAACAGATTATTTCCAAGTCCTGTGTTTCACTTAAATTTGTAATGAAAACTTTGTAATTTTAATATTTTTATCTATCTATCTATCATGGCAACATAGCTGCAGTGAGGAAAAAAAAAAAAAAAGTATCTTTCATATCTCTTTCAAACCATCACTGAAAATAATATTATGTCCAGTATTTATGTTCCCATGATACATAGAAACTAAGGAATCTAGACCAAGCTTCAAATCCTACAGCAAGCTTGCACTGGTGCTAGTTAGAAGAGACACTTAATTGTTGACTATGCGTAGATGACAGAACAAATTGCACGTCCAAGAAAAACAAAAAGACCTGTTACCTTCCTTACAACAAATTCATTATCACCTTTTCCAAGTCCTCTTTGAAAGCTGGCTTGTGGGAGGGCAGATGATTATAAAATATTGGCTTAAGTCAAAGATTCCTACTTTGCGGTGCACTAGCGTGTTTCCAGGTACCAGCCAAACAGCAGAACTCATAACAGTAGGATCTTATCAGTCTGACCAACATCCTCATTCCCTTTAGAGTCTCCTTAGTTCAGCCCACACCACAGGCTTTTACTTTATATTCTAAGATCTTCCAAAAAAAAAAAAAGAAAAAGCAGAGAGTCTATCTACTTTTTTTAAAAATCACATATTTTACTTACAAAACAGTAGGTTCATGCACTGTTACAACTCAGGTTGAAAGTCAAACTGAAAAGGACCAAGGAAGTAGATGCCAGCCTGCTCTGCTTTCAGCTCTTCAAAACTTTGCCAGGAAAGCAGGTTATGGAAAGGTCAGCATTTAACAAGAATGTCAACATAATGAGATTGTCATCTTATTAAAGCAATATAATTCCTACCAACTAACAGAAAAAATACGTGCCTACGTGGCTGTCCTAGCTAAGTGGGAAAAAAACACAGTTCTAAGACAATTTATATGGAATAGTCTGAGGCTTCCCAAAGTACACTCAGGCACCCGTGAATCAAGTTTGCTGAGATTTCACCACTGATGAGCACCATCACCACTTGGCAAACCTCAGCTTTGCACATTTATTTCCTCAAGCACAGACCAAGCTCATTTATGGAAGCCAGAACGAAGCAAATGAAAGAGGTTTTGTAGGGGGGGAAAAAAAAAAGACAAATTTAAGATAAAGCTCTTGTAAGCTCACTTGTGCATGACCCATAACACATTATTTGCTCTTCAGGACATTAAAAGTACCCTTCGTTATTGGTTTTGGTCTAGTTTTGTGCTCCTCTTCAAATGCACCTTGGAAAAGACCTGGCCTCAAAATGAAACAGGC